CATACTGTTTTGCTTTCCCCTCAGCAATGAATAAGCATTCCTGTTAATCAGCATTCTTCTACTTGGAGTTGCCATTTTATTTTATTTTTTTTAAAGATTTATTTTTTATTTATACAAGAGCTGGGCTACAGGCCAGAAGTGCGGGAGGATTCACCAGAGACAGAGTGGGGAGCAGAACAGGCAGAAGACACTGCTGAGGGGAGCAGCGGGCGACAGGAGAGGTTTGCCACAACATGTGGGAATCTCCCTGGCCGGCTGGGAATCGAACCTGCGCTGCAGAGGCTGTGGACAGCTTCACAGCACTGTACTCATCCCGCTGCGCCACCGGGGAGGCCCCAGTTGCCATTTTATTTTCACTCCTTTAGTTTGAGCTATCCTGACAGCTATGAAATGGTAGCTCATTGTGCGTGTATACTATTTGCATTTTCCTCATGGCAAGGCTGTGCAGTTCTGCCTCGCTCTCTGGTCTTTAAGTCCTAGGCTGCCAGGTAGACAGTTCCACGGCCCCAAGGTTGCCATGCAGTGAGGAAGCTCAAAAATAGTCATGCAAATAAGCCCTGAAGAGGTGGAGACTTCATGAAGGGAGAGGCCTAGCCAACCCAAGGCCTTCAGTTCCACATTAGAGATCCTGTTAGAAGAGCCTAACCAAGCTCTTTCTAAAACCCTGGCCCATCTATGAGATGGCAAAATGATTGCTGTTTTTCTTAAGCCACCTAATTTGGGAGTAATCTGTTTTGTAGCAGTATTAATGGGAACCTGGGCCACGTGCCATCTTTCATGGCTTTTGTAGGTGCCATCTTTCCCTATTTGGAGCACTTCCTTTGCCTAGTTACCCTCTATGTATGCTTCAGATCTTTGCTAATGCTACAGTGCTTCAGACTGCTCTGTCCCTGAACTCCAAGAAGTAGGGTTCCTGATTTCCTCATAACACCATTTACTTTTCCTTTCTATATGTGTCACAGTTGCTTTTGTTCACTCTTTTTTTTTTTTAAAGGTTTATTTATTTATGCATACAAGAGCTGGGGTACAGGCCAGAGATGCAGGGGTGAGAGGATTCACCAGAGACAGAGTGGGGAGCAGAACAGGCAGACTGACCTAAGTACACTGCCGATGGGAGCAGCAGGCAAGTTAAGAGAGGTCTGCTGCGCCATGTGGGTTGCTCCCTGGCTGGCCGGGGATCGAACTCGTGCTGCAGTGGCTGCGGATCACTTCATAGTGCGGTGCTTAACCCCTTGTGCCACCAGGGAGGCCCCCGCATTTTTTCACTCTTTGGCTATCTTTCTGATGAATCTTCAGTTTCACAGGCCAGCTTTCAGGCTATGCAGTTACCCAGCAGGCCAGGCATTGCGAACTCAAATGTCAACAGGAACAGGAAAGTAACATACATGAGAAACGTGGGCAGGGGAGGACCTGTGGGGAAGTGAAGAGAAAGTCTCCCATCTAGAGAGTGCAGCTGCCACTCAGTAGGCTCTGCACAACCCAATCTGCCTCTATTTTAAAGAGATTATACAAACCTAGATTATTATGTAAGTAGTAGGATGATAGCAACTAATTAAAACTAAAAAATAGACAAAAAAGAAAAGAAAGGAAAAATAACAGCTATCTCTGGATTCAACACTCCTTGGTTTTTTTTTTGTTTTTTTGAGAATGACCAAACTCTCACTTTGTGTAACCAAGAATTGTATCTAAGTGAGGCATAGGTTAGGCCTGGGGCTGCTTGGGGTTTAGGAGTGGGTCGCTTCTATCTGCTTTTCTCTACTTGTACCTAGATATTGTCAGTCAGATTCCTGGGGCCTGAAGGCTTCTAGATGACTTAAAAATAACTAGGGAATGAGCCTCCCTGGTGGTGCAAGGGGTTAAGATGCAACCTTTGAAGCTGTTTGCAGCCACTGCAGCATGAGTTTGATCCCCAGCCAGGGAGCTACCCACATGGTGCAGCAGACCTCTCCTGACTTGCCTGCTGCTCCCCTCAGCAGTGTATTTCAGTCAGTCTGCCTGTTCTGCTCCCCACTCTGTCTCTGGTGAATCTTCTCACCCCTGCACACCTCTGGCCTGTACCCCAGCTCTTTTCTTTAGGAACAGGTATAAGAAACTGTGACCATTAAGTAAGTTTCACTAAATTCTGTATGTTCCTTCTCAGAAGATAAATTATATGTATTTATAGTGAGGAATGGGAAGATGCAAAGCTCTTTAAAGTCCTGCGAATAGTTGATTTTTATCTCAAAGTTATACTTCTTGTTATTTAATGTATCTATTAAAACTCAAAAAAGAAAGAATCTATCAAACCATGAAAAGATACAGAGGAAAATCCAAAGTGAAAGAAGCCCATCTGAAAAGACTACTTACTGCTTGATTCCACCTATAGGACACTCTGGAAAAAGCCAGCTATAGAGGTAGCAGTAAGATCAAGGTTTTGGGCCTCCCTGGTGGTGCAAGAGGTTTAGCACAGCACAATGAAGCTGTCCGCAGCCACTGAAGCACAAGTTTGATCCCCGGCCAGGGAGCTACCCACATGGTGCAGCAGACCTCTCCTGTCTCGCCTGCTGCTCCCCTCAGCAGTGTATTTCAGCCAGTCTGCCTGTTCTGTTCCCCACTCTGTCTCTGCTGAATCCTCTCACCCCCTGCACCTCTGGCCTGTACCCCAGTTATTGTATGAATAACTTAAAAAATCTTTAAAAAAAATCAAGGTTTGCAGGGAGTGGGGGGAGTGAGTGCTGTAATGATGAATGACAACTGGATCAAGGGGTGAACCATGACTAACGAGCATATAGTAGCCTGGGCTGCTCAGAGCTTGCACACTGAGGACCTCACAGCACTAAAGAGAGTCCTATCACTCTTCACATAGAGAAGATGAGACGGGGTATAAATCTCTTAATTCGCATGAGCCCTGGTTAGATAAGAAATTGTTCCTATTGAACCAATAAGGAAGAAACAGAGGCCCAGAAGTATCAAGGTCCAAATAACAGAATAAAATCCAAAGTCTAGGGTTTCTTGCCTTAAGGTATGGAAGGAGGGAAAAGTATTGAGACTGGAAATCATAAGCCCATCACTTGAGTATCCATGAGTGACCATAAAATGAGTTACTTTCACTCCCCTCCACCAGAGATTGCCTGACTGTGCCCACAGACCTTAGCTTTGGGTTTAGTAAAATTCTTTTATGTCTCTTTCTTTACCCACGTGAATTATGGGATCCAGACTACTTGAAAGTTAGAAAAAAATTACCTTCAGCAGAGGGCTGGACAATGTCTTCATGTTGCTTTCTTTTTGGTGTCATAAAATTTAGTCTCAGTGCATTTTACAAGAACCAAAGTAAGGAAGCCTCATTCAGAGAAAGCATTCCTCCCTGGCTGGGGCTAGGTTCCAAAGCATTGTTTGGAGCAGCCCCTTCAGCAAATCAAACTAAATTGCCTTGGCAAGAAAGATTGAGCAATAGTTAGATTAAAAGATACTGTTTGTTTTGTGTGTTTGTGTCTGCAGAGAGAACAAAAGAATGAGAGAGAGAAAGAGACACAGTAATTAGAGGGAAGCAGTAGGTGAGAGGAGGCCAGGATCTCTGCAGTTTCCGCACTCCTTCACTCATTTTCATACCCTGGACTCACACAATGCATGCATCATTTGCAAAGTGTAATTCTAGAGTCCCTAAGAGCCCCCAGCTCCAAACCCCAACCTGCCACATATGAGGGATGCTAAACACCACTTTATCTAACGCTGGGTGGAAGACATAGCGTTCTGGCACTGCTTGCCTCATTATAAAAATTTACTAATTTTATGTACTGTGTTTTACCCCTGCTAGGATGTAAGTCCCTTGAGGGCAGGGATTTGCTCACCACCCTAGTCTTAGCTCTTGGAACAGTCAGTGCCCTTCACATAGCAGGCCCTTCGTAAACATTTACGGAGGAAGAAAGGAGGATCAGCGGCATCAAAAGACGAAGGACAGCGATGCAAAAGGCAAGAAAGAAGGCGGGCGTGAGGATGGGCTGAGAAGTCCCAGCTCCGCGTCCACGCGGCCGGCAGCTCCCCGAACTACAACTCCCAGCAGGCCGCGGGGCTGGGGCCGGCCTAGCCGCCTCCGACGAGACCAGGCCCCGGCCCGTCAGGTTCCCGGCGTGCATTGCGAGCGTCGGCGCCGCCCCGTGGCCAGCCGGGACTTGTGGTCCCGGCGGCGGGTGGGGGTGCGGCGGGGGTGGGGTGGGGGTGGGGCGGGCATGGAGGCGGGCGGGGACCGGGGGCGGGCGCAGGCCCCTCCCCGTCACTTCCTGCCGGGCTGCGGGTGCCGGAGCGGCTCCTCAGCGTTTGCGCCGGCGGCCGCCGCGTCTGCCTCGGCTCCCCCCTCCTCTGACCCCGGCCCGGCGGCGCCCGCCTCCTCGCGGCCACTCCGCCTCCTCCCTCGTCCCTTCCTCGGCTCCCGCTTCCTTCCTCCTCCCTCCTCCGCGCCGCCGCCGCCCAGGACCGCCGGCCGGGGGACGCGCTCGGGGCCGCGGCCAGGTGAGGCGCCGGGCCGGGCCGGGCCGGGCCTGGTGGGGCCCGCGCGGGCGCCGGGGCGCGGGAGGGGGCGGCGGGTGGGGCCTAGGCCGCGGCGGGCCGCGCGCCGACCGCCTCCCGGGCCTCCCGCGCCGCGGGCCTTCCCGGAGGAGGCGGGTCCTCCGCGCCCCCCGGCCGGGCGCCGGGGCCTGGACCCGGGGCGCCTTCCGCCCGCGCGCCCCCGCCGGGGCCGGGCACAGGTGCCGCCCGCCCGCGCTGCCGAAGTTATTCCCGGGGCGGGGGGCTGGAAAGGGCCCCCCGCTCTCAGTCCCGGGGAGCCGGCGCCCCGGACTCGCCCCAGCCGGGGTCCGTGGCTCCCGCCGCCGCCCACCCGGGCGCTGCCCCCGCGCCGCCCCCCGGGCAAGTCTCTCCAACTCCTCGTGCCCGCTCGGACAGGCGGGGGGCTGACCCCGGCCCTGCCTCCCCGGGCCGTTTAAGGTTCAGGGACATGGGGCGTGTAGGGCGCTTATCAGGGTGCCAGACCCACAGCGTGTCCCAATAAACCGTCTGCATCATTGAGAAGCGCGATATTAAGGTCTAACTTCATGGCGGAGCGGCCCGGAGTTGACCGGCCCACCCGGTTGGCCGAAATTGTTCTGCGTGCCCGCCGCCGGCGCCTGGACCTTGTTTTGGGGTGACATCCGAAGGGGTGCCTGTTTAATTGGGACACTCTGTCGTAGGTAGTCTGTGAAAGCCAGATGCTGTTATTTCCAGCTCCGCTGAGCCAGCTGCAAGATTGTCCCCAGCTCCTTCAGCCTGAGCAACCTTTCCATTTTTTTTTTTTTCCCCTGCCATCATCCGGCTTGTTGTCATTCCATTTCTGGGAAAGTTGCTGGCAGAAGCTTCTCTGGAGTTCAGCAAACCGTGCTGGAGCACTTACAGCGTGTCAGGCGCAGGAGGGGGGTTTGTGCAAAGCCTGAAAATGTCTCCTTTTTGCGCTCCATCTCTAACTTCTAACTTTTTTCCACTGCAGCTTTGCTTTTATTTCCCTCCGTCCCTGTTGGCTGACTTTGCTTTTAAGCCTTTGCCCCTCCTCCGTGTTGCAGTCTTGCTTATGTGGAAGTTTTCTTCTGTTCCTGCGAAGATGTGCGCTTCGGTCTGTCCTGCCTCTCTTCTTCTCTGGCGGTGGGGACGTTTTTAAGGTCACTCCTCCCTTCTGCTTGGTAGCTTTGTTTAGAGGGTGGTGGAAAGAGAGTTCAACGAGGTTTTTTGGTTGATTTCGGCCTTTCAGGAATCAGTCTGCGTACCAAATGTAAACTAAACCACTGCTTATTGAGGTGAAAACTATAAATACTATTGGATTATTGAGAACAGTTTCAGTCAGTCCTGGTGACAGGTGAGATTTTAAAAACAGCAATTTCTTTTTTTTTTAAGTGGGCCGAGTTTCTTTTAATTCTGTATTTGTTGTTTGGGTGTACCCTTCATTAAGGAAATGCAACTTACGGAGTTAACGCATTTACGAAAGAGTAAGAAATGTGTGTTTGTGCTACTGAATCGTCCTCGTATACCAGGATCATTTTAGGCAGTCCATTTCTTTATTTAAGCTGTCTTGATTTACATCCATCTCTCAATAGTACACATGATGCAAAGTGGCTTTCTTGTGTGTGACAGTTTCCTAGAAATTCCTGACATAGTGTTTCCATCATTTCTAATTTAAAATCTTTGTTTGGGGATGGTTTTTTAAAAACACCTTTAAAAAAAATACCGCAAAGCAAACAGCTGTACAAGAAATATAAACCATGTTTTCTGCTATGTGGAAAATTGTAGTGTTAGTAAAGTGGTGTTTTAATATTGTAGTAGATGACCTAATTAAAAAAAAAAAACCACCAAAACTTATTATGGAAGACATACAAAAGTCAAATAATATAGAGAACCCCCAGCTATTGGTCACTCTGCTTTGGTAATTATTAACTCATAGCCAAGGTCAATATTGTTACATGTATCCCCTCCCCCAAACTCGGTTATTTTTAAACAAATCCTAAAACATGTTTCTTATCACATTGCTCCAGACTATTAATATATCACAGAATTTACTTTTTACAGAGTCAATGTTATTTTGTTTCTTGGATTTTTCACCTCTGTACACAGTTACTGTGCAGCAGGAAAAATGAGCAGCCCACTTAGCTCCATGCACTGCTTACACCCCTCAAAGTCTTATCTAAAATACTGCCTTGCTTCTTTGTGTACAAAAACAATTTCTAAGCTATTAATGACTGTAATTGAAAAGCAGTCAGAAATACAGATAACCCTAATCCTGTTTTGGTGGAGACCTACCTGTTAAACCACTTTTAATAGAGAATAACTTTGTATCCAAGTTAAACTACAGTTAATAATTCATAATGAAGCTTTCAAAGTTTCTTTCCAGTAGTTGTGTAAATATGCTATCACTTTGGTTAAGAATTAAGCAAAGGATATTTGATTTCAAAACCTTCTGTTGTAGGTTGTTTTCTAAAGACTGCCCCCACCACCAGACTTTGCTGTATTTGCAAAGTTTTAGCAAGTATGAATGAATTCACAGCCTAGATGTTCTTTTTTTTTTTTAAAGATTTATTTTATTTATGCATCCAAGAACTGGGGTCTAGGCCAGAGGTGGGGAGAAGGGGTTAGAGGATTCACTACAGACAGAATGGGGAGCAGAACAGGCGGATTCACTGAAATACACACTGCTGAGGGGAGCGGAGGGCAAGACAGGAGAGGTCTGCTGCCCCATTCCCATGTGGGTTAATTCCCTGGCTGGGAATCCAGCATTTTTTTTTTTTTTTAAAGATTTATTTATGCATACAAGAGCTGCGGTGCAGGCCAGAAATGCAGGGGAGAGAGGATTTACCAGAGAGAGAGTGGGGACCAGAACAGGCAGATGTACTGAAATACACTGCTGAGGGGAGCAGCGGGTAAGCCAGGAGAGGTCTCCTGAGCCATGTGTGTCCCCTCCCTGGCCAGGATTGAACTCTTGCTGCAGTAGCTTCATAGTGCTGCAGCACCACCAGGGAGGCCCGGGAATCGAACTCTTGCTTCAGTGGCTGCCTATAGTTGTCATTGTGCTGAAACTTAACCCCTGTGCCATCAAGGAGGCCTGTTCATGTTTTGCTTTATTGTTTAAAAAGAGATCTCTCCCAGAGTGGAAGTTGATAGCTACAGTACACTTGTCATTGTTAACTTTTCAAATTTCTGGTTATGAACTGTTTCTAGCTTTAGATCTGTTACATTCTTATTTGAATTCTGTAGGTCTGCTTTCTGAATCAGGTGCAGGGAAAATATGTTATGTTTTAGTAACTACAGTCCAGGAGATGGAGAGAGATGTGTATCTTTTATAATAGGAGCCAATTTGGTATTTAGGATGTGCTTTATTTAGAAAAATGCTTAGTGCATTCCACTAGGCTGAAAGTAAAGCTTAAGTATTTGATATTGGTACCATAAATAGTTTGTTCAGACTAAATTGCTCTTTTAAGATGTAGCCCAAAACCCCATTTATGTACAGATTATGTTAAATTTAGAAATGAGTATGTCTCATGAACACCCAACCCCCCCAGTTCTGAAGTTCAACCCATTAACATTCTGGATGTAATCATTAAACATGGGCTGCAGGGTGCTGTATCGTCCAGTGTCTCACCCCAGTAATGCGACAAACATTTACTACAGGGGGCATGGAGTGGGGCTCAGCTGGTAGGGCAACTTTTTTTGATGCCCTTTTACTGGGTGGAGGAGAGTTAAATTCACCAGCATGAAGATGAAACTTTCATGAGAAAGGTACCTTTTTGTGGGATGTCATAAGTCAGTTCCAGTGGCCTTGTTTTTATGAGTTTCCAAACTGGATCATCATATTTGATGTCATACTTAGTGACACAGAATTCTCCACTGGAGTAAAATGTAAATTCCTCCCCCTCAATGAGAGCTTTGTTTCGTTCTCTCAGAATGAGTTTTTTTTTTTTTTTTTAAGATTTTTTTTTTTTTTAAATTTATACAATAGCTGGGGTACAGGGCAGAGGCGCGGGAGGGTGAGAGGATTCACCAGAGACAGAGCGGGGAGCAGAACAGGCAGAAGGACCGAAAGCATTGCTGAGGGAAGCAGTCTGCCACGCCATGAGGGAATCTCCCTGGCTGTCTGGGAATTGAACCGGCATTGCAGAGGCTGAGGACAGCTTCACAGCACTGTGCTCAACCCGCTGCGCCACCAGGGAGGCCCTCAGAATGAGATTTTGGAGCCTTCAGAAATGTTTTAGAGAATTTACGGGGAAAGATTTTATTTCACGCTACACCTTAACAGGTGATTTTAACTTCAGGTGATGGAGGCCTATTTGGTTAAAATGTTTCTGGTGTAATTTTCTACAAGAGCTTTCCCTTAAAGAAAGCTTTGTCAAAATCAGGACTATAGGACTTATGCTGTACCAAAAAACAATGTATATGTTAGAGATTGGCTATGAGAAGACCTATTTGTTGCTATGGTTATTTTTTTTTTTAAGATTTATTTATTTATGCATGTAGGAACTGGGGCACAGGCCAGAGGTGCGGGGGGTGAGAAGATTCACCAGAGACAGAGAGGGGAACAGGCAGACTGACCAAAATACACTGCTGAGGAGAGCAGCGGGGGAGACAGGAGAGGTCTGCTGTGCCATGTGGGCAGCTCCCTGGCAGGCTGGTGATAGCTTCACAGTGCTGTGCTTAACCCCGTGTGCCACCAAGGAGACCCTGCTATGGCTATTTTCCCCCAACATTTTATTACAATAAATTTCTAACAACAAAGTTAATAGGATTATAAAGTGTATCACTATGTTGGTGTTAACAAATATCACTGGATGGATATCTTGGATATCTGTTTTGTTGATAACAATGCTCTGAACTAAGAAAACCTTAACAAAGAAAATTATTTCTAAAATGGGGAAATTGCTGCAATAGCTTAATCCACTCTTAAAATAGTTACATTCCCATACTTAGGCGATAAGGTTAATGTGAAGTCATTTATGTCACCAGATGGATGTAGAAAGATATACAGACTGTTAATTATATTTTCTGGGATTATACATCTTTGTTTATTAAAGGAGTATATTCAGGAGGCTCCCTCTATTTATTGAAAGCAAATTTAAGAAAAGCTATCCAAAAAAGTATTTGCTTTCAATTAAAAATTCGTCTTCTAAATATTAAATCTGTACCCCATCTGCTTCTGTTTGATCTGGAATCTAACTTGGGAGAGAAGTGTGATGACTTCATGAGTTTATAACAGTAATGAAAGCAAAAACAGGCCCTTTTATTATAATATGACACAGAGGTCATAATTGTCCTAGAAGATTTTGTCATAGCTACGAGACTACAAAGTCTAAGAAAAGCTACTTAAGTACCCTGAGGTCTTTTCTCAATGAGAATGATTGCTCATCACAGTGTTTCTATATTTGATGTCGCTGTAGAACTAGTTGCCCAGTGAGTAGGTTGATTTTAGTCAGCATGTTCTCTATTCCCATTTTAAATCTTTTTAACAAACGGAATTTAGCTATATATTTATATTTATAGGTGTTTATGTGACTGAGAATAGGATTAGTGAATTTGCTAATAATTTTTGCTACTATTTTTTGAGCTTTTACCATGTACCAGGTTAGGATTACAGGGTAAGAGTTATTTGATGCGGGAAAGGAATCTGAAAGGTCAGATTGAATTTATCTAACAGTATAAAAGCTGCTCTTCAGTGAGCTCTTCCTTTGGGCCACAGGTTGAAGTAGATGCTTTATGTTGTGCTTCAGTACTCAAGAATGTCTCGCTAACCGAGAATATGGAGGTCTTTCTGGGGGGCCTGATAGTTGCTCGGCTTCTGCCCTCTTCCACCAAGCCACACTGCCGCTCATTATGCTCAGGTGCTCTTTGTTTAGGGTAATTTATTGTGTGTCACCAGGGCTTCCCCTGCTCTCCCTCCTGCTGAAGACAGGATGATCACTAGAACTTCAGGCCAACTTGGAAAAAATAAGTCTAGTTCGGTAATAGTCTTTTAAATGAACTCTATTTGTCATTCTCTTGAAATAGTTTGAAGATGTACAGTTTACTTTTGTTGTAATAGATTGCTGCAAAAAAAAAAAATAGATTGCTGCAGTCAAACCAAATTATATACTGATTCAGAGGTTTCTGGGGGGGGGGTTAGAAGTAAATTGGTGGGGAGGAGGAAGTTTTAGTAACCTTTGTGTTGAGGGAAGCTGCCTCCTCAATGACTGCTCTAATCCTTCATGCAGCTCACTGGAAATGATTTACTAACCACAGGCAAAGTTTAGAAGATTGGTTTTGTTAGCATTACAGTATTGTGCTTTATTGGAAATGAATTAATGTGGCTTCCAGTTGGCTCTATAGGGATGGGTGGTTGTTAACGTCTTTGTTTCCCAGACATTTCTAACATAAGTTTCCTGGCTAATCTTGGGAATATTTACTGTAATTTACTATTTGGTATTGAATTGCCACCTGGACAATTTCCAATTTACTTTCTTTAATCTAAGTAAAAAGCTTCCTTGGTTGACCACCCAGTCGGTAGTCATGTCTTACGGCTGATCTTAAAGTCTAGATCAATGAGATTAAGTCTGCCTTTGGATCTGGGTTTTAGTGAGATGATGTATGAGTTTCCATTCTGTGTTTAGCTTCAACTGAGGTGACCTAATCTCTTCCTCTGTGATGACATACATTTGTCTCATTAATCATGGAAAAGTGTTAGAAATGTGTCCTGAGGATGAAGTGAGTAGATAATGCTGCTTAAATTGTGACTATATTGACTCCCCTCTGGGATAAGCTTTATAACCTAACTCAGTCTTGTCAGATTCTCTCACATCTCTGCTTTTTTGAAGTTTGTATTTTCTATAGATTACAGTGAACTGAGATAGGAATTTTAAAGGGGCCATTGTCTGCTGATGTCATTGTGATTTTTGTATAGGATGCTAGATAGTCCTTTCCTCTCCCAGAAAGAGGCTAAGTTATATGTAATAAATTTGGTTATACATGGAGACTTGTGTTCTTTGTTGCAAATTTTTACCAACCTGCTCATTAAGTTCTGTGACCCTTTCCCTAGATGCCAGTCAGATATAGTTAGGTAAATAAGTCTTTCAGTTTGTTGTAAAAGTGAACCTTTACAGTCTGGAACATTTAGAATCTGACTACATCTAGCTACTGCTTTTCCTGTTAACTGAGAACTTATCTATTTATTTATTTTTTTTTTAAAGATTTATTTATTGATTGATTGATTGATACATACAAGCACTGGGTACAGTTAGAAGCGCGGGAGGGAGAGAGAATTCACCAGAGCCAGAGCGGGGAGCAGAGCAGGCAGAAGGACTGAAGTACACTGCTGAGGGGAGCAGCGGGCGGCAGGAGAGGTCTGCGCGCCATGTGGGACCCTCCTCCCGAGGCCGGGGAGCAGCCGGGGATTGAACCGGCGCTGCAGAGACTGCCGGCAGCTTCCCAACCCAGCGCTCAACCGCTGCGCCACCGGGGAGGCCCGAGAACTTATCTATTTAAACACCACATAAAGAAGGATAAAGCAAAAAAACTTTTTTTTGATGAGCTTCTTTATAAATTTTCTTAGTATGTTTTGAACATGATTAATATCATTTTATAATATTGGTTGTGGTGTACCCTAATAAAAGTCATGTTTAACAGGTAACTTTGGTACGGCATTTCATAATTTACAAGCATTTCATCTATGTTACCAGTTAATTCACTCAAGAATTGTAGGAATATTGTGTCAAATTGGCGGTGGCAAGCCTGGTCAGTGTTAAAAGGTTGAAGCCTACAGGTATACTTTACTCAGGGTTGTTTAGTGAGCACCGGAGTTGAAACCTAAACTTAGGTCCTGAATCGAGTTTTCGCCCATACCTTTCCTAGATAGGCAGTTCACAGCAAGGTTTTTTTGTTTTTGTTTTTGTTCTTATGATCTTACGCATCTTTGGTCTTGAGGTAATGAGTATTATAAATAATTTATTACTACCCAATTAAAATTCCTCTGTGAATTATTTCAGTTTGTCTTAGATTCCAGGTTATCACTGTATGAATGTGAATTCCACAAGAACAGGGATTACATCTTATTTACAGGGATTACATCTCCAGTGTCTAGAATAGTGCCTGTAAAATATTGGGTGTTTAGTAATGATCTGATGTGTGCATAAAGCAATGAATTCAGTTTACTTTCTTGTATTCTAGCCTGCTTTCTTGGGGAGGGGGCAGGGAGGGAATTTTGTTAGCCCAGTCTTCCTTATCTCTGCCACTGCTTCGAGTAAGTGTGTGCTGTATAGATACGCTGGTAACAATTGTGATGGCTTGGATTCTCATTTGAGAATGGGGATATAAAAAAATGAGTTTGCTCCTGTGTGAAGGTATATACAAATTTTAACCATCAATTGTACTTGTGTAAAGATGTTTGAAATCCAGATAGTTGCAGACTGCTATATCCCCCCACTTCCTGCCCACTGATTTTTTTCTTTGCTGTTTAATTGTTGGCAGTTGTTTCTTACGGTTGTCATTATGTCTGAGTCTAGCAGCTCCTTTTTTCCATTCTAATTATTTTCCATTCTAATTATTCTAATTATTTCCATTCTAATTTATTTACTTTAGTTTAGAAAACTAGATCCCTAAATTTACCATCATTATTAAGTATAGGTGGGCTTGAATTGGTGGCAGCCCCCATAGGTAAAAGGTGACTTTTACTATTTGTTGAGCTGCTCAGAGACCTTTTTCAGTTCCTTGTCATCGCAGTCTTCTGAGTGGATTAGGCTGTAAAATAACAGGTTTTTAGACTGGAAAGTTATTACTACAGTATACTATTAACAACATGAAGAATTAGTTAAAATACTGTTGAAAAAATCAGAATTTATGGTTTTGTTCCTGAAATCGTTTGGACAGTATACAGCTACTTTTTGTTACTTATTAAGCCCCAATAGCAGTTAGAGATTGCAATCACTTTACTTTGTAAAAATGCAGAAACATCCATACATACAAATAGGTAAGGAATTCTGTTTGTTACTGACTACAACATTTAAAATGGGAGAAACCTCTACAAAAATAAGACCTGAGAGTTTGAGAATTTAACTCTTAGGTCACCTGAAATCTGGTTCTAAAGAATGATCATAATTTGGATTTACTAGATATAAAGTGCTTTTCATATTTTGCAAATTAGTATAAGAATATTTATATACAAAGTATCTTTTTATAACTCTTCTCATGTAATTGTATTTGCATCACCAGGCATGTGGTAAGGACATTTATGAGTAAAACAGCTAGCTAGTAATTTAAGGAGAGCTAAAACCCCATAAATTTGAAAACCAGACTGGTATCATCAGATAGTATATGATATCCAGTTCCTTTGGGGAAAAAAAAATTCTGACGATTCACAGCCCTCTTACAGGAAGTATTGAGATTGAAAAAGAAAATTTCTGATGTTTCTTGTGTTCATGTCTCTGCAAAATATTCTTTGTTCTGATCCCAGGCTATCATGTCTTTTATAGACTCTGCAGCGTGCTCCTTCATGCCATGACATGCTCTCAGAAACTTTACTACTTGTATATTTTATGCTTTCCCAAATCTTTAACAAAATATATCTTCATTTTCAGAAAGAGATCTACTCTAGTAAATTATTGTTTCTTATTTTCTAGGAGTTTGCTAACCATATAACATCTCAGAACTGAAACAAAACAACATTATTCCTGGAGCTCCTCTTTTAAGGTACACATAACTTGGTTCTGTAATTTTGTGCCTTTTCATAATTTGTATTGTTTTTGAATTCAGTGACTTCCGTGGAAAATTATATACTTTGGCTGTAATATTAGAGAGACAAAAGAAATTTTATGCCATTTGAGTTTCTTTTTATGCTTGAGGCTTAATTAGAAAGTAAATACAGGAAAAATTGTTGGCAAAGATGTAAAACCCACTAGCCAACACTGCCATATGCTTTAAGTATTGAGAAATGTATGAAATTATGAAATTTAACCACTACAGTTGTCATTAATTATAATTTGGTCAACAAGCAGCTTGGTCAGATTGGTTTCAAGCTTGTGGAAGTAATTCAGCATTGTCTTCTGTTGTGTGAGAGGACTTTAAATCAAGTTCCATTTAGTGTTGGCTACTTGTGATCATTTAGACCAAGAAAGTGTTCTAAGAATTCAGGATTTTATGGTTTCGTATCTGGGCGTGGCAAAATGTATTACCTTGCATGGACAATGCTTTGTGATTTCTTAGCATGTTCCCTCTAAGAATCAAAAGCACTTCATCATGTATCTCTGAGATAATTATTAGTGGATAAATTAACCCAACTTTCTTTGGGAATGAGGAAATTGAAGCATAAGGAAATTAGAGATGTACAAAGCTGGGTGAATGGATGCACTCCTCACACTGAATGGATACACTCATCATACCGAATTTGTATAATGGTTGCTTTCCAAACTCCGGAAGAACTGTTATCATGCTTCAGAATTCCTTCTGTGTTTTAGCTTTCAGGATGCTACAACTGAGGCTTTATCAAATATCTGATTATAAAATGTTTTGGAGAAACTGAGGCACCAGGCATTGGATTGCCAAGAATTGGTTATTTAGTTGTCATCTGAGTTGGTAGTAGAATTGAAAGACAGCACAGAAGTTTGATCTGATTTAACATTGTTGGTTGCTACTTAGCAGCATGACTGGTTTCTTAGAAACAGGGTGTTGGCACTGGTATGTTTTGCATCAAGATGATAGTAGATGCAGTCGTGTTTCTAGGTGGATGGCACATGATTTCGGACTATTTCTGTTTTCTGAAAGGAAAAGACTGTTAACTTATTGAACGAATCCTCCTTATTCTAACATGTCACATGGGTACTGCTCTTAAAAATCTTCAACAGATCATGAACAGATACTCAGTTTGGTTGACTTAAAACATTTTTCTGTTTTTATAAGTTGACTTTTAAAAACACTTCTTTGTTTACAAAAATAACATTTGAATTTAGTTATTTTTAAGAATTTCTCCTAGGGAAGGGAAGGGGGTGGGAGAGTGTTAAGGTTTCAAAACAAGAAAAGAAGGTTTGCAGTGTGTTAAGCTGAAGCAACAAAATTTTTTTCACTTTAGTACAGACTGTGGTGTTAAGTTTTTTTTTTTTTTTTTAAAGTTGAACAATTAATAATGAGTTTTCCTTTAGCAAGAGTTTTCTTTAAATGGACCACCCAGTGCTTACATTTGTGTGGAAAGAAAATCCTCCACTGCCCACTTGGCTTTGGGCCAAGTTTGAGCTGGGGCCACATTCAGTTACTTGTATTGGATGCAAAGGTCTTGAACAGTCTGGGTTGTTTCCAGGCGTTCTGTTTGACTGATTTTATTGTCTTGCAAGTGATGGTGCCTACTCAGGGTCTGGTCTCTTTCTCTTGAGCACTGAGGACATAGTCGTCTTTTTTCTTTCTTTTGAGTAGCTTGGTTATATTTCTTTTAAAGAACTTTTTATTTGTGATTTGATTTATGTGCCTGCTGTTGAACATTATTTGCTTGACATGACGTCGTCTTCTTGGAAACGATTATGTAGAGTGATAGTGCCGCCGTGTTTCTGTACTTTTGCTGCCCTGTCTGTAGGTATTCCACTGTTTGGAGTCAATGAATTGCTATTTCCCCAGGGCCAGGGGATGACAGGTCTCCAGGAGGAGGAACGCAGGCGGGAGGCCAGTGGTGGCAATCCTGGGGGTGCGTTTCCGCAGAACGCATGTAACATCGCAGCTAGAAAGACCTGTCAGAAGAGGATCTTAGAGCTGTTAAAAGAGTTGGGTGGCTATTTTAGTTGTACTTCAGGACTGTTTCAGAAGAGTGCTCTTATTAATTCATTTTTTGTTGTTGAAATTTCTCTGAGTAAAGTCTCAAAAACTGAAGAGAACAGATTAATAGATTAAAAGATTAACAGGTTTTTTCTATTTATTATGTCTTCAAGAGAAAGAAAGATTCTTTCCAGCCTTTGAGACTGTACAATCTGCCATATAAATAGGGTTCACATGTAGTAGGTACTTAATTTTTGTTGATTTTTTTTTCCCCCACCCTGGGATCAAGCCATTTTATTGAGGGGCTCAGGGAGATGGTTGAAGGGTGAAGAGGATAAAAACTGATATTCACAAATACCATTTTTTTCCATCAGGCCATTTGGGGATATCCCCAGTTTAACAATTGCAGAAAAGCCAATATTGAAATAATGTATCCTAAAGTTGCTGTTGATATTGCTGATGCCATATCATGACAAGGAACCAAGTACTCCTTTTATATCTGTGTGTCCATATGCATAAAATTTAATTTAGGATTTTGAAGGGGAGATAGTGAAATGTGGCTATCTTATAAGCTTGTCTGGAATTGAGATTACTTGTACTGTACTGCTTTTTCCTTTTTTAAAAAATACCTTGTTTGGGGGCCTCCCCGGTGGTGCAGCGGTTGAGCGCTGGGTTGCGAAGCTGCCCGCAACCTTTGCAGCGCCGGTTCGATCCCCGGCTGCTCCCCGGCCACCGGAGGAGGATCCCACATGGCACACAGACCTCTCTTGTCACCCGCTGCTCCCCTCAGCAGTGTGCTTCGGTCCTTCTGCCTGCTCTGCTCCCCGCTCTGGCTCTGGTGAATTCTCTCACCCTCCCGCGCTTCTGACTGTACCCAGTGCTTATATAAATAAATAAAATAAATAAATCTGAAAAAAAAATATATATATAAAAAATTAAAAAAATAAAAAAACCTTGTTTGGAAAGGTCACTTATTACAAAGGGAAATTATGTGTTTATTACACCAAAGTATAGATAAAGTCATGTAAATTCACTTGAAAGATTGGATATTAAAAATCACCTTTTTCATAATTGCTGAAGTAGTTATTTCATACAATTTAACAATCTGTTGAAAATATCACCAAGCACTACTGCAGATAGTTCTGTAAATGGTTTTTAAAAGGATCTGCTTTTTTTGTGTGTGTTTAATAAATCTCAATAAGGTATGGGTAGATTCACTGCTGAGTGAGGAAATACGTATTTTGTGCCTGATCACTTTTTTACACATCATTTATAATTTTTAAAAAAGCTTTGCGTATGCCCATATTCCGCTTCCCAACTCACTAAAAAGTACTTGACACTTGTAAAAAGGAAGCCAAGGTGAGATATTTTATTTTATTTTTTTTTAAAAAGATTTATTTATTTTTATACAAGAGCAGGGGGTACAGGCCAGAGGCGCGGAATGGTGAGAGAATTCACCAGAGATAGAGCGGGGAGCAGAACAGGCAGACGACTGAAATACACTGCTGAGGGGAGCATCGGGCACGACAGGAGAGGTCTGCTGCGCCATGTGGGAATCTCCCTGGCAGGCTGGGAATCGAACCGTGTTGCAGAGGCTGCGGACAGCTTCACAGCTCTGCACTAAACCCGCTGTGCCACCGGGGAGGCCCCGAGATATTTTATTTTTATCGGAAAGTTTTTGTATCACCAACCAAATGTTAGGACCCTGGGTGGCTTGGAATTAGGAACCTTTTTTTTTTTTTTTTTTTTTTGTGGGACCCTTGCCGGCTGCTGGGGAGCGAACCGGCGCTACAGAGGCTGCAGGCAGCCTCGCAGCCCAGTGCTCAACCGCTGTGCCACTAGGGGAGGCTTGGAATTAGGAATCTTTTAAAAAGATCAAACTATAACTGTCATATCAGCCCTCTCAATGTTAATAATGCTTGTGTATGCTCCATAAATTTAGGATTAGAGACCAAGAGGAACGTGTTTTCCCGAGTTGGTGTCTAAAGTTCTTCAAATAGGAGAAAGCCCAGGAGACACTTTTGTGTTTCAAACTTTTCAGTGGAATTTTACTTTGTCTAAAATATTCTCCTATAAGAAAACTGTTAACCAAGCATTTCAGTCTCTCTTGAGTCCTAATTTAACAGGTAGAAAACAGTCCTTAAAGATAGGTCTAAAGGAAAAGACAAGTTTTCAGAAGAAGCATCCCCAAGATCCCATGACTCCTCTGGATGCCACTGTGACCCGCTCAGATAGCAGCAGTGAAATGCTCTGTTCTTTGAATTATGTTGGCAGAGAATATATTTTCCCTGGCCATAACTGATACCTGCCTGGTTTTTCTTTGGGAAGGAGCATCTGTTTGAGTAAAGTGTTTTAGAGCCTTTTTAGGTGAAAAGAAGATTTTCTTTTCTTAAGGGTAGGAGCTACATATTACATTAACAAGCTTTTACTTGTGGATTTGTATGTGATTTTAGAACAGTCTCCCTGGCTCCTCACTCACCAATATGTCATCCATTTCCCAGTTGTGACAACCAAATAATGTCTCCAGACATTGTTGAATGTCTTTGGCAACCAAACTTGCCCCCTCTTGAGAACTACTGCTTTAGATTCTCTTCCAGGCTTAAAGACACACAGAAGTATTAAATTAACAAATAAGTACTGTTGAATTTCAGTCTTGGTCGTGTTGAAAATTTGTAATCTATAGAATACATAGACTTACTAGGATCAGACTTTTTTTTTAAAAGATTTATTTATTTATGCATACAAGAGTTGGGGTATAGGCCAGAGGTGTGGGGGGCAGGTGAGAGGATTCACCAGGGACAGAGTGGGGAGCAGAACAGGCAGATTGACTAAAATACACTGCTAAGGGGAGCAGTGGGAGAGACAGGAGAGGTCTGCTATGCCATGTGGGTCAGCTCCCAGGCTGGGGATGGAACTCTCTGCTACAGTGGCTGCTGATAGCTTCACGGTGCTGAGATTTAACCCCTTGCACCACCAGGGAGGCCCTGGAGTGTATTTTTAGTTGTGGTTTTGAATTACTTGTTTCAACCAATCTGTCTAAAACTTTAATTCTTCTAGGTGAATTTGAGGTTAACATTTTTTGGGGGGCAGTCTTAATTAAAATCCCGTTCTCTTTCTCAACTTGTAGAAAACTTATATATATATTTCTGGCTGGAAACGTTGGCACTGGGCCTACTGTAGACAGCATTAGCCAAAAATGATCCCTTTGGGCCCCACCCTTTCTAAGTTTAGCTCGTTCATTCAGTCTCAGAGTCACCAGGGCAGGGTTGTTGGGTTGTGGAAGCAAAGAGGGGTGTGGATGTGGAAGCGAAGTGGAACTCTGGAGCAAACATTTTGCCTTACTTTTTTGATGTTGTGACCTGTGGTTGGTGGTGTGGAGTTGTAAGTACTCTAGAAATGATTTTTGAGGGGTGGAGATAGGATAAAAATGCCCTCTAGAGAGTTTAGAAAGAGTGGAGGGGATTAGGAGAAAACATTTGTATTTTGGCAGCTGAAGGAAATAACAATAATGAAACAGGGTCAGAGCTGACTTGTAAATGGTTCCGGACTTGTTTCTGGACACTGGCAGCTTGTTTGCTGAGATAGTTATCTAGACCTTCAGTGGATCTTCTTTGTTATTTTGTTGTGATTCCCAAAGTAAACAAGGAACAACTGAGATGTTGAGGATTTTGTTGAATAAGGTGATGTTTATGTCTCTGTTATCCAGTCATTTTTAAACTTAGTGGGTTTTTTTTTTTTTTTTTGAGGTTTGCAGTCCTTTTTTGCTCTCAGCCAAAGGGAATGTGCTAGGTAGGATTCCTCAAATAACTTTATTGGTCTGGTCATTCATCTTTTTCTAAAGGTCCAACTTTAATTACACATCATCCCGAGACTTTGAAAAGTGTTTATGTAACAGTTACTCTATAGTACAACTTTTAACATTGTTAGTTTGCTGATCTCTACTTTGGTTGACTATCTGTTCTTTGTTGCTACTGGTTATTTTTTACTACTTCTGACTTAAACTTTTTCCGCTTTTTTGAAGAATGGCCATGAGAATGAAAAGAAATGTCTTTATTTTTGACCTGTGAAAAATTTAAATATATTTAGAAATATTTGGAACATACAAGATGGAAGAATACAATCTCCTTTGCTCCCCAGAATCTGCACCTTTCCTCCTTACAGTAAATTGCCAATCTAAAATCTGTTCCTCTTCATCTTCTCCATTTTTTGCTTTTAATCGTACAAATACCTTAGAATGTTCTTTGCTATTCCGAGAATTTCTCAGGGTTATGAACTTTGATATGGGCGCAGCCCTTTCTTGTTTGGGGCCTGTAACTAAATGAACCTACAGACCCTTTCTCATTTTAAGGAGAAAAGAAACAATGCAAATGGGAATTCCTTCCTTTCTTCAGTCCACTTAAAGGAAAGCTCTAAGGGTACAAATCTGAGGTGTGGCCCATAAATGGCAGTCATATTCACTTTCACCTGTGAATGGACTAATGGTGTTAGGAACCCAGCTTGCTTCCAGCATCTTATAATTTTGAGACCAGAAACCTTTCTCCTATCTCATACACTGTGGAAGACCACTCCATACTTCTAAATTTGCATTTTTGAATATAAACAGTAGTTCATAATTCTTAATATTTAGCAATAAATGTTACACCCTACTGATTCTGTTCATAAAATTAATGCGTAGAGCATGTGAATATTGTAAATCATTTAAAGACACTGAGAAAGTCACAACGCTAGGAATCTTACTATAGACCAAGGAGAAGTACACTTCTAATAAATCAACATAGCTGTATGCTCAGCAGAGCTATTTTCAGACTCGAGTAGTGGACACCAGTTTTGACTGAATATTGGCAATTACATATCATCTCTATAATTTACCTTTTTATTTTCTTTCCCTTACAACTTTCAGGTAGAACTTTAGACTTCATAGCACTGAATTAATCTGCACTGAAAGCTGTTTACCTGCAGTTGTTCACTTTTGTTGAAAGTGACCATGTCTCAAGTTCAAGTGCAAGTTCAGAACCCATCTGCCGCTCTCTCAGGGAGCCAAATACTGAACAAGAACCAGTCTCTTCTCTCACAGCCTTTGATGAGTATTCCTTCTACTACTAGCTCTCTGCCCTCTGAAAATGCAGGTAGACCTATTCAAAACTCTGCTTTACCCTCTGCATCTATTACATCCACCAGTGCAGCTGCAGGTAAGCTTATAAATCCAAGTGTCTGCTGTTTCCAATGTTTTCTTAGCCTGTTTTCTGATCTGATAAATAGATTGCAGATGTAGGAAACTCCCACATTTACCTGCAAGAAGCAGAAGAAAATTATTATAACCCACGCTTCTTATCCCAGCTAGAATACACTTTATTGCATATTGTGTTGCTGAAGGTCTCAGTTGATAGAGCATTTAAAGTGTGAGAAAGACATACTTTCTTGGCAGGGGAGTCATCAGCATCACAAGGGTGGTTTTCCCCGGGTGAGGTTTATCCATCACACTCGGGGTGTGCTGACCCCAGCCATTTCCCCAAATGCGGGAAACTTGACTGCATAAGTTGTGGTAGTAGGGGACTGCGTTCGTTACTTTCCCCTGAAAAATAATAAATATATAAGAAGGAAAATAAAAAAATAAGCCATTAAGCCTGGTCTACTGTAAAGTGGTGAGTGGAAGAAAGAACTGAACAATAAAAACCACTTCAGATATTTATTGTTGTATTAAAAATTCTGCTTTTAAAATTATTTCTCAGAATTGACAAAGAAGTCTTGTTATGTGTAAGCCCCCTTTTTCTGTATGTCGTTAAGATTATATCCCAAGGGGGTAACCAGATTTACTAGGAAGCAAAAGAGTATGTTGGCGTTTCTTAATTTTTATTTTGAAAAAATAAGTAAATTGAGATTTCAAAGGTAGTTTAGCAGTCGTAGTGAGGACCAGTTAGCAATTGAACAAAGCAGAGATTTTTTTAAAAAGGAAATAAGCTTAGCATCATTTAAATCTGATTTTTAGGAAAATGAAATGGACTGAAGGTAGTTACTGATTAGAAAAGACTTAACATTTTAAAAAAAAACCACCCTCAAACCAGTATTCTGCTCACCAAAGTGACAAACAAACCCAGTTACATAAAGGGAGTGTCAATGAGGTGGTCTCCACACCAGGGGCACCTATGGCAGGTTCTTTTTGACCCTTTCTTGTGCCTGACAGTTTCCCTTGCATTTCCTCCTTTGTCCTCTCCCTTCCTTTCCTTTGTGAAATCTGTTCTTAGAGTATTAACTTCCCCACTCAGCTGCATGGCATCCATCACACTGCTGCCATACTCCCTCAGGCTGCTTCACCACATAGCACTCTTGACCTGTAGTCCACAAGAGACTTAGTTTTCCCCAAATTTTGCCATTTAAAACTATATGAAAAGGAAATTGTACAGTCCTTTGGAATTGATTGCTTTTTCTTCTAATGTGTTCTGTCCACATCCTATTGACTTTAAACCCCCTCCCACAAGGCCATTTTATTTTACTTAAATTAATTGTCAGAAAGAGGTAAGGTCTGGGGATAGCAACCTCTGGTGAAAAACTTAGGGGGACACCCCAGGAATGAGTCGTCAGCTGAGTGGAAAGCAACAATTGTTGTTAAGAGAAATGGTATTGACATGCTGAGTTTTGTGAACTAACAAGCAGGGTACAGCTAATAGCTGTTGCGGTAACCACTGTGTCTCTGCTCAAAAGACCGCCTTGTTTATTCCCTTGGTTGATTTTAATAGCAGTGCTTCATCTGACTCCAGCTCTTGCTGGCCTGCCGTGGTTTTGTTCTGCTCTCTCTCTTGAAGACACACCCTCTATTAGGTCACCTGACTTCAGTGAGTGCAGAAAGACCCCAGTTGTGTCTTCAGGCATGTGTCCCCCAGTGTGGTTTGCAGTTTTGCATCTGTGCTGCTCTAAATCCTTAGACCTTCGATGTGTTTTCAAACTCTTTTCTTATATCTCTGGGAGAGCAGCAGTCTTAAATACTGCTAGTTGACTTCAATGCTCTTACATTATTTTTCAGTTCCTTCTAACATGGCACACCCCAAAGAGAAAACCCCAATGTGTCTTGTGAATGAGTTAGCCCGTTTCAACAAGATTCAGCCTGAGTATAAGCTTTTGCGTGAGCAAGGTCCAGCTCACTGTAAGGTAAATATTGTCCATACTGCTTGTGCATTTATAACCCACCAGGAATGTTTTTTCTGTCTTTTTATATTGTTGAAAGTGGTGCTGTGATTCAAAATTTGTATTTTCAAATTGCTGAGATTGTCTTAAAGAGATGCAAAAGTATAGAGTTCTGGTGAGTCACTACTTTTCTCATCCTGGCAGAATGGGTCCAAGAAAAGATAGACTTCTTTGGGGGTTAATTGGCTTTAAATACTCCACTGAGTGTGTGGTTGTTTAGGATTCTGAATAGAGACCATTTCCAAGCACCTGCGAATGATTGCCTATGTGTTTTCTGGGCTCTGAGCCTCCTGGCTGCCGCCCGCCTCTGGCTCCGTTCCTGCTTGTTTGCATGTGTACCTCAGGCTGGGCAGCAAAGGAGGTGACCAGGAAATCAGCCACTTGTTAGTGATCCAGGTAAAAGTTTTGGAGATGAGAGTTGGAAATTACTCTCAAAATGAGTATTTTCGTTTGTTTAATTTCAGTTATCCTTGTTATTCCACTTATCTTAGAGATTGAAAGACTGACTGTAATTAGAAATTCCACAATTCAGGTATTCAGTCGTAAGCTTGTTTGAGTCCTGTGCTAGTGTACCTCTTGGCGCTATCTTCTGCATCGGTAGTAAGAGAGGATGTAGTATGAGAGAAGGAACTGGGTCTCCTGTTTCTGGTCCTTGCTTTGCAGTAAAGATAATACAATTAAGGATGAATTGTCTCTTGATGTCTTGTTTTTCTTGACCTGCAAACCTCAAACCATGAACGATCTCAAGTTTCACCTTTTATTTGACTTCAAGTAACATTAGCCACAACCATAATCAGGCACCATAGCATTGCAAGATTAGGGAAGGTGTCTTTGGGGTTTGAATCCTAGTTTCTTACTAGCTGTGTGAACTTGGGCAAGTTCTTTTAAATCTCAGTTTCCTCATCTGTAAAATGGGGATAATAATACCTACCAAATAGGTTTATTGTGAGATTTGAATGACAGATTGTATATTAATGTGTGGAGCACAATGCCTGGCACTTAGTAGATGTTTGAGAAATGGTAGCTATTATTATTAAGTAATTGTGGATTTGAGAGAAACAGAATTTCCCATTCACATGAAGCTAGTTTTAATATTTGAAAGCTTAATTATATTTGAAATGTTTCTTTATGTTTAGAAGGCAATTAGTCATTTTCTGTAACTGTTCTATTTCTTCTACAGGGTTTTTTTTTGTTTTTGTTTTTGTTTTTTTTTTTTGCAGAGCTTAACTTTGGGATTCCCTTTGTTAACTGTTTTGGTATTTTTAAAAATATGTACTTTCTCACTTGAACTTTTAATACTTCAGGCAATTTGGCTGTGTTTATAACCACATTTTTTTTTTTTAACTTTCAACTTGTTCAAAGAAAAAAGTTATTCCCGCCTAGGTAACTATTTAAAAAGTCCGGGGTCTGGTGTTCTTTTAATTTTATCAAAACCAGGATTCTAACCTTGCTACCAACCCTCCACCCAGAAGGCAGCAGAGTGGCAGCAGCGTTGGACGGGGAGAGTCCTGGAGGAAGGCAAGACTGTTAATAATTTTTTTTTTTTTTTTTTTAGCATTTTCCCTTTAGTGTCTTTCCATGAAAGGACCATGAAAATTACCCAGGGATTGCACAGCACTGCAGACTTCTGCTGTTTTACTTCTCAGGCCAGCCAGGGCTTTGAGTTCATGCTCTTGGTGCTTAAATGAGTAACCTTGTGAGCTGCAGCGTGCATACAGGAGATCCCTCATGTTTCAAGAGGGATGAAGGATTATTTAATTTTTTTCCCTTTAGTGGAAGCTGTGCACTGAGGGAATCCTGAAGTTAAGACCTACAAGAAAAATTAGCTGTGAAGGCAAGTTGGCCCCTTTCCCTTCAGCACCAGATTTTTTTCTACCTGTTTATACGGTGCTCAAATCAAGGTTTCTCATGTAAATTACTTGTAAAGGAAATGATGTCCAGTGATAAAGAAAAGCAGAAAAATATAAGCTCAAATTGGTTTTGCTAAATTTAAAGTAGTGTGTCTCAAACTTTGGGTGCATTACAATCACTTTGGGAGCCTCTTAAAAATATGCAAGCTTGGTTGCCCCTATTTAGTCGGAATTCCTGGGCTTTTCCAGACTTCCCAGATTCTTTCCATGCACACCAAAGTTAAAGATCACTGCGCTAACATCATCCATTTTTTCCTTCTTTTTTTAACAGAATATCAACAGCACTGACAGGATTAACAGTACTGATAGGATTACATAGATTAATTTTAAGGATGGGATGTGTGCTTGGGTTACCTTTATACTTAAAAAGCAAAACAGACTGACCGTCATCAGTATTTGTTAAGGACAAAATTGACTGTTTTGTATGCAATTTTTTTTTTTAAGATTTATTTATGCATACAAGAACTGGGGTACAGGCCAAGGTGTGGGGATGAGAGGATTCACCAGAGACAGAGCGGGGAACAGAACAGGCAGACTGACTGAAATACACTGCTGAGGGGAGCAGCGGGTGAGGCAGGAGAGGTCTGCTGCGCCATGCGGGTAGTAGCTCCCTAGCCGTCCGGGGGATCGAACTTGTGCTGCAGAGGCTAGAGGCTGCGGACAGCTTCACAGTGCTGTGTTTACCAGGGAGGCCCTGGATGCTTCTATATAAATGAACTTAGAAACTTTTTTAGATCTTTGCTTGCTGTAGACTTGATTTTCCTCTGAAAGTGGAGGCAGCTTCTGAAGAGCAGTCTAGGAAAATAGAGGGCATTGTTTTAGAACCCGGCTAGCACTCCCAATTTATGTAGGTGTTTTTTTTTTTTTTTTGGTCCTGATGGTGATGTGTTTTCAGACAGTTCACAAGCACATCAGAACAAACATTGTCTTAATTTGTATCAGATACTAATGTGTGTCTAAGTATGTTTGTTAAATTCTCCCATGAGCAGTAATTGGAAGACAATTATTATTTTGATGGCTTCCAAATAATCAGTGTCTAACATTTTAATACATACACAAAACATTTAAAAATTAGTTTCTGTGCTTACCCCCATCTTCAAAGCAGTTTTTTTCATGAAGTGCTGTGCAGTGCTAATCAGTGATACAGATATCTTTTTGTGTTTATAAAGACAACAGAAAAGGGGTTGAAGGGATAAATTATGAAGCTAATGACCAAGCCTTTTAAACCATGACTATAAAAATGTTCAAGGTCCAAGTGACATCTATAGTCAACATCAGGTTTCATGAATTGAGAGCTCACAATTTTCATTTGTAGGTGTTTACAGTACAGCTAACACTTGGAGATCAGAACTGGGAAGCTGAAGGAACTAGTATTAAAAAAGCCCAACACACAGCTGCTGCCAAAGCTTTGGAAGAAACAAAATTTCCTAAACCCATAGCCCGCCCTTTTCGTAGCGAAGGAAGGAATCCAGGTATTATGCGTGGGCCAAGACAGGTTCCTTTCAAAAGTGTGTCTAGAGGTACCCTTTTAGTATGTATTGAGTTCTTTCTCAACTAACGTGTTGATTTTGAAAGCACAGATTCTGCACTACCAGTGGCAAATGCTTATCTTTTCAGAATTCTTAACCTCCTCTGAAGCAGTGGTTCCCAACCTGTGGTCTCCTGACATCCAGGGAGGTCGTCATGGGGATGCCAGGCTTGGGAGGGGTGCCACCAGATGACTTATAAGATTCCAGAAAAGCTTAATGCAAGTATATTTTTTCCCTCAAAAAAGTTTTAATTGTCAAGAATGTAGATTTTAGTTGAAATTGTTTCAACAGAGTTTGGTAATATCAATTATAACATGTTGATCTGAAATCTTGATTGTCAGTTCATGTCTCCTGATCATTAAGAATGAGAAAATAAATACAAATCACTGGATAATATCCCTGCAAACAAGGGACCCAAGCAGGGACGATGCTAGTAAAGAAGAGTGTCTGGTGAAAGGTTGGGAACCACTGACCTGGCGGGTATGGCAGTCACTACCTTGAGCACTGGGGTCACCCTGGACCTTTTGTGTGTAGGAGTGAATCCTGGAAGAACGTGGTCACCTTTTGTTGCTTATGATTTCTTTGTAGTATTTCTTCAAATTCACTATCTACTGCAGATAACTTTTATGGGTCAGAGGTGCTCTTAAAGTTGGATTCAGGTTATACTTAAAATGCAACTATATAAATTATGTAAAAAATGTAATTCTGATGTTAGCAAGAGAGAGGTCAGCTACTCATGTGACTCTGAATTTGCACCCAAAGTTATTCTTACAAATTTTATTCATGTGCCAAATTTAGTTGAACTGGTTATAGTACAAAATAAAGTCTTTTTTATTTTCCCCTAAACTCATCCTAAAGAGGCATTTTAAAGTGATTTCTGTGTGCATTTAAATTGAACTTTGCCATTGCTAGTGTTACTCTGTGTTTGCTGTGAAAGTGTTGTTTTTTAAATGTGATTGTGTACTGACTCTAATCTTTCCAGGCTGGTTTTTTTAAATGATCCTTAAACGGTTTATGAATTAGATTAATTGTGAGGAAAAAAGAAAATGAATAGCATGTTATTTTCTAAAGTTGATATTTATGAGATGACAACCCAAGATAAATGTGCTTCAGTTGTATATGGATGCAAAACTCATTTTCCTCATAAGCATTGCCACAGGTTAAACCCCCTTACAAATATCAAGACTGGAAAAAACTCACTATTTTGTGGGCCTTCTCTGACTTCTCCAGACAGGATCTGTATGCCTCTGCCCATATTGGTCTGCTGCTCTCTGTATAACACACTTTCCATTGTGTTGTAGTTCTTTGTGTTTTGTGATCTTTCAACTTCTCTGGGCAAGAATTTCACTCTTTCAATGGCAGCAGAATCTTTCAAGCTGTTTAACACAATGCTTTGCATCCAGTTAGTACTTAATAAATGCATTGTTCTATGAAATAGTGTGTACAGACATACTTCTAAGTGTAAGCCAATAACCCAGTAAATCAGCACAGTCAAAGTTATATTGGTTAACTTTTCCCAAACAATAAATGATTTGGACAGTCACATGTGATTTTCTAGTCATGGAATTTGATATGTATTGAAACTTCTGACAACTGGAAGGCGTGGCTTTCACTCTTTCACTGATAACATCTTGTGTTAATTTGTTGCTCCTAATAGTTTACAGTGTATTTTGTGCTGTTGACTGTGTATTAATAACTAGAAATGGCAGCAGAATCTTGGATTTCCTCATGTACTTAGCAGTGAAGCGCTTAGACCATTTCTTGAAATGCATCGCGAATCCATTAGTAGAAAGCATGCTGCCTTTTACTTTAGTGACTGTTGTTCACATGTTAGAAAGAAACTAGTTCTTTGTGTTTATTCTGTATTGCAGAAAGCATAACTCCTACCGTAGAGCTAAATGCACTGTGCATGAAACTTGGGAAAAAACCAATGTATAAACCCGTTGACCCTTACTCCCGGATGCAGTCCACCTATAACTACAACATGAGAGGAGGTGCTTATCCCCCAAGGTATGTCTTTGTTTTGAAAAATGCTGAAAATACATCTGATCTCTTTACATAGACTAAAATCTGTAGATGTGGAATGGAAAGTAGTTTTGTTTTCTTTGGAACTGCCAACTGTTGACGTCAGTCTTAATTGTGCTAATACCTTTGGAATTTTGTCTTGATGGTGTCTTTTTATTATATTAATTTTTTGTTTTAATTTATATTTTTTACATAATTGTGTATTCCCCATAAAATTCCCACCGCCAGTTCACCTGGGAACCAACACCATAGTTCCTTGTGCTCTTCTCTCCCTGTTCTGATCCTTCTCCCATTCTCCCTCCCAGGATGTCTCTGATTCATGGTTGCCTGCTAGTTTTTTAAAATTATTGTTCTTTTTTTCTTTTTACGATTTGTTTATTTATGCATACAAGAGCTGGGGTACAGGCCAGAGGTCTGGGAGGTGAGAGGATTCACCAGAAACAGTGGAGAACAGAACAGGCAGAGTGACTGAAATACACTGCTGAGGGGAGCAGCGGGCAAGATAGGAGAGGTCTACTGCACCATGTGGGTTGCTCCCTGGCCAGCCGGGGATTGAACTCGTGCTGCAGAGGCTTCGGATTGCTTCACAGTGTGGTGCTTAACGCCTTGTACCACCAGGGAGGCCCTATTTTTTTTTCTTCTTTTTTTAAAAAGATTTATTTATTTATTTATTTATTTATTTATTTATTTATTTATTTATTTATTTATTTATTTATACATACAAGCACTGGGTACAGTCAGAAGCGCGGGAGGGTGAGAGAATCCCCCAGAGCCAGAGTGGGGAGCAGAGCAGGCAGAAGGACTGAGGTACACTGCTGAGGGGAGCAGCAGGCGGCAGGAGAGGTCTGCGCGCTATGTGGGACCCTCCTCCGGTGGCCGGGGAGTAGCCAGGGATCGAACCGGCCCCACAGAGGCTGTGGGTAGCTTCACAACCCAGCGCTCAACCGCTGCGCCACCGGGGAGGCCCCTATTTTTTTCTTGTTCCCTTATTTGGTTCCCCTATATTCCTCCTATAAGTGAAACCATTTGATATTTTACTTGTTCTTCTGGCTTATTTCACGGAGCATGATCCCTTCTAGCTTCATCCATATTGCTGCAAATGGCATGAGTTTGTCTTTTGATTGTTGAATAGTATTCCATCATGTATTTGATGGTCTTTTAACTCCCATAATTAGAAAGGGCCTGAGCACATTCCTTGCCAACAGTATGGCTTGTGCTGCCCTCAGCAGTCTGGTTAAAGATCATCCTTGTAACGGCTTTTTGTGATGGAGTCATATTTGAACATGATTCTGCAACATGTTCTTTAGTCTGCATTCTTAGATTTCTTTTTTTTTTTTAAGATGTATTTATGCATACAGGAAATGGGGTACAGGCCAGAGATGTGGGGGGTGAGAGGATTCACCAGAGGCAGAGTGGGGAGCAGAACAGGCAGATTGACTGAAATGCACTGCTGAGGGGAGCAGCGGGCGAGACAGGAGAGGTCTGCCGTGCCATGTGGGTAGCTCCCTGGCCGGGGATCGAACTCGTGCTGCGGTGGCTGTGGATAGCTTCATAGGTTGTGTCTTAACTGCTTGTGCCACCAGGGAGGCCCAGCATTCTTAGATTTCTTAATTATTGTTAATGGGGTACTTTCTGACTTTTGAACGTGTGCTTTGTAAATAGCCTTGGAGTGCAGGTGCAGTAAAATATATATTTTTTAAAGATTTATTTATGCATATAAGAACTGGGGTACAGGCCAGAGGTGCAGGGGCTGAGAGGATTCACCAGAGACAGGGTGGGAAACAGAACATGCAGACTGACTGAGATACACTGCTGAGGGGAGCAGTGGGCAAGATAGGAGACGTCTGCTGCTCCATGTGGGTTGCTCCCTGGCTGGCTGGGGATTGAACTCACGCTGCAGAGGCTGCGGATAGCTTTCACAGTGCTGTGTTTAACCCCTTGCGCCACCAGGGAGGTCCTGCAGTAAAATACTAATTGAAACCTGAAAAAGCCAAGCATTAAAACCTTGGGTTGGCCATCGTAAGAAATTAGTAGGTAGATGGATCATCAAAATGGAAATCTTTTTTTCCCTGTCCTCCTGGGCGGGGGGTGGGGAGGGGGCAAATCCATTTTAAAAATAACAGCCTTTGGAAAGTGTTTTAATTTTAATGTATTTTCTAATCCAGTGTGAGTATAGGAAACCAGGCTCTGCCAGGCTATAGGTTGTTGAAATTTCCACAAGTGGAGGCTCTTTCTAAATGACTTCTGCTTAAAAATTCCCAGCCTTTTCTGGAGACATGGATGTGTGAATCATTCTCAGAAAATAGAAAATATAGAGCAAGTTAAGTTTCTGTCTCAGTCAAAGCTTAACTCATTTTAGATTTTGTGAACCTGGATTAGTATTATAAATTGCATGTGTAATTTGTAAATCATTTTGTTTGATGCAACGTAAGTTTAAGTTGCTGAACAGTAGTTGCTTATACTATGGCAGTTCTAATCCAGTGTGAGTGTAGGCAATCTCTGAATATTGACGAGAAGTCATTTTTGGCCAGCAGACTCTAATGTGATAAGGAACCATGATGAAGGAAATAGCTGTAATTTGTGAGAGAATTTAGAGGTGGTTTATCAATTTTGACTGTCATTTTCCTAACCCCCTTTTATTTTTAGGTACTTTTACCCATTTCCAGTACCACCTTTACTTTATCAAGTTGAACTCTCTGTGGGAGGACAGCAGTTTAACGGGAAGGGGAAGACGAGACAGGCTGCGAAGCATGATGCTGCTGCGAAGGCCCTGCGGATCCTGCAGAGTGAGCCACCTCCCGAGAGGCCGGAGGTGAGGAGCGTGGGGACTGCCCGGCCTGTGGGGCCGAGGGAAGCTTAGCTTAAACCCAAGCTGTTTTTCTTTTTCTTTCAAAGAATTTGCTGTCTGCAATTTTTGTTACTTGATAGCTTTGAAGATTTTGTATCTTGTAGCATTCTTGTCTTTTCCTCCTCCCGTTTAAGAAGATGTCTGAGTAACAAAATCAGATTCCGCCTTTTTCATTCTGTGGTGTAGCTTTGAGTGAACACGCTAGAAAGATTGTGACTCAAGATTGAGTTGTGAAGAGCATGCGTGGATAAATTCTTAAGTGCTAAAGATGATGCTGGTCAGAATCTACTGTGATTTATGGGTCCAAGTTAGAGAATTTCTGACACCATTTTGACCAGCTACTCTTACTATACTAAAGTGCCAATTTCTGTCTCTGCGTAATAAACCGTCACAAAACTCAGTGGCTTAAACACCTAGGGGCATTTTTATTTGCTCACCGGTCTGTAGCTTAGGCAGGATTTGGCAGGAGAGCTTGTCCCCGCTCTGTGTAACTGAGGCAGCTGTGAAGGGCCTGGAGGATCTGCTTTCGGGGTGGTTCCCTCACAGGGCTGGTAGGTTGGTGCTGGCCGTCAGCCAGGAAGTAAGTGGGGCCTCTGGCCCATGCAGAGTTCACCACCGTTCCTGTACTGTGGCGAACCTGTCCAAGGGTGAGAGTCCTAGAAGATTGGAAATGGAAACAGCTGCCAGTTTCTTAAGGCCTGTGCTCAGACACCAGCATGGGCACATCCCTTCTGCCATGTTCTCTAGGTCCAGTAGCCACAGAGCTGAAATTCAAAAGGAGGAGATATTGAATCTTGCTTTTTTTTATTGACACAACATTCACATAACATAAATAATACCAGCTTATGCATACAGTTCAGTGACTTCAGTCCATTCAGAGTGTTGAGAACCCCACTTAAGTATGAAAGGAGTATAAAAGCTTTAGGGGCTATGTTTTAAAACTACTATGATAGGGAAAGGATTTTATTTTATTTTTTTTAAAGATTTATTTATTTATGCATACAAGAGCTGTGGTACAGGCCAGAGGTGCCGGGTAGGGGGGTGGTGGTGTCAGAGGATTCACCAGAGACAGAGTGGGGAACAGAACAGGCAGATCAGCCAAAGTACACTGCTGAGGGGAGCAGCGGGTGAGTCAGGAGAGGTCTGCGGCGCCCTGTGGGCTGCTCCCTGGCTGGCCGGGGATGGAACTTACGCTGCAGAGGCTGCGGACAGCTTCATAGGTTGCATCTTAACCCTTTGTACCACCAGGGAGGTCCGGGAAAGGATTTTAGCTCCATGTGACTAAATAGGGATTTGGGTCTTAGGAAAGCAGTCATTATTCCATGCCATTGAAGGGCTAAAGCATTTGTGGATCTGTCTGGTAAGGCAGAGTCTCAGCATCACAGGTTCAGAAGAAGCTCACTAAATAGAAACATTGGGACTTGGTGATTCTGTATGATCACAGCAGGAAACCATACCTGAAAATATCCCCAGGTGGTATTTGACTTTTCCTCCTCAGGAAACAAGTTCACAAAGATAATATCTTGTGCACAAGCTCCATCTTGGGAACACCGGGCTGTGTGTGTGGCGACAGGTATGAGCCTGCTCGGTTGGCAGGGCGCTTTCTGAGGCTGATGTGTCCTGATGCCCACCAGGGAAATCCAGCTCAGGATGGTTCTGTGTGGATTCCTCGCCAGACAGGAGGCCTTTGTCTTTCTTTTGTTACATTGTCTTCCCTTTTTCAGTGCAATTACACTTTCTAAAGCAGATGATCTGCTTCTCAGGTCCACTAAGGACCATATTAGAGAAGATTTATTGAAATTCAAGGGATGAGCTTCTCATTGGTGAGATTTATTAAAATACTGAAGTAGTATAATCTGAGTCACTTTGGAGGCTTTTCATTTTTTATTTGATTCTGGTGCTAATCAGTGGAGTAGGTATTTCTAGGCTCCTTCCGAGCCAGCAGTTCGTTAAACTATTGCTCAACACTGACTGATATGTGGGTTGTCACTTTTGAAGTGATTCTGAAAAAATCAAGAAAATTGATTGGTCCATCCCACACGATTCTAACAGTAGGTCTAGGTCTAGACTCAGGAATTTGGCTTTTTCTTTTTTTCTTTTTTCATGAGCTCTTAGATTTATTCTAAAACATGGTCAATGTTTGGGAACCTCAGGTCCTGAGTATTATCTGTGCATCCCAGGCAGTTCCTTCTTGGAAGTACTCGCAATATTGCTGAAAAGATCTTGATGCTGATCAGCACTGGAAGGAGCAGAGCGGCTGTGGCAGACCTGCTCCCTCAGGCTGTGTTTTCATGGGCTCCTCCTTTCTTCCTCTTTGCCTCCTTTCTCATTGAATATATAGTTCAAAGTAGAGACAGGGCCCTTCTAAAGTGGCCAGAGACTGGCCTACACTAGTGCCTCCAAGATGAGAATCATTAACCAGGACAGGACTTTTTCTTTGAAGTAATAAAATACTTGGCCTCCTGCCTAAACTAGCTGCCCCCTGATTTACGACTCCTTCTGGTGGCTGGGTAGTAGGGGTACTACTACCGGGACATGTCTATAAGATAACTCATTTATAAGCAACGCATGTGAACAATAAAAATTTCTTAATTCAAAAAAATGACTAAATTTGCCACTCATAGATAATCACTGTAAGCATTTCGGTGAATGTTAGTACAAAAACGAGCATCTAGTCCATGAAAATGGGGTGATATCGTACCATAATCACTTTTCCACTGAAGTGTTGTGTTACGCCATTTACTAACAGCTCCGTGGAGGACTCGGATTGAACGTGCATCTTTTTAATGGCTGCTAAGTGTTCCATTGTGTGAAGATACAAGTTTGTTTTTTCAACAACAAAGGTTTGATTCCCAAGGTTGTTTGCAGTTTTTCTGGTTATAATACATAGTGAAAAACACTGTTAAACACTGTTAAATCTTTGTGTGTGTCCCTGATTGTTCTTTTGAACCACAGTCCTGGAAGTAGAATCGCATGATTCTATATATGATCTAGTTCTCCATCAGAGAAGTGGTACCATTTTATACCTCAGCTAACATGGCATGACCAGCCTGTTTGCCCATGGCATGCCTGCATTGCAAATTATCATTTTAAACAAATTGTCTGCTTGGTGGTTGAAATTTGTAGAGCATGTGATTGTTTGGTGGATCGATTCCTCTTCTCTTGAACATAGCTAGTGAAGCTAGCCGTTTCTTTTAAAAGCAGGTGTAGTCTGGTCTCTTGGTTACAGGCATGAATGAAGATAGTGGCACTGCCCCACACCAGTTGAATGGAGCTGACAGGTAATTAGCATGAGTATCATAAAAAAGTACAGCAAGCGCTAGGATGGACAAGTGTGATGAGAGTATAAGATGAGTCTGTTACTCTGTCTGGAGTAAGGGTGGTGTGTTCAGAGAGTCCCCTCTGAGGAAGAGTGATTTCAACTGAGACTAAAAAGAAGTGAAAGGGCAGGGGAATGAACATTCCCAACAGCCTTGTAGTCATGATGATGACTTTCACTCAGTGTCTGAGCTGTTAAGAACAAGGTGGTCATCGTTAAAGGGTGAGTAGGAGAAAACACTAGCTAGCGAATGCCCATTCTAGGGAAATAGTTAAATACGTGGGAATGTTTTTCCAGGAGGTGCTAGATTGTGGCAGTCTGTGTACAGGAGCATGAAAGGGCTGTAGCTGTTGAGTAGGGGGAACCTGGCCCAGGGGTTTTATTGTGTGGATAGTGTGATCTGGTTTGTGTTTCAGTAAAATAAAGAGCCAGTTCTCTGTGTGCTTGAATGTGCATAGTTTCTATCTTACAAGTAGTTTTCTCCTGATGATAGAGGTAGAAGACAGGTTTTTAAAAACTGTGCTGATAAAAGGTTTTTTAAAATGCTATTCCTGTAGAAATAAATAAACGCCACTCTTTATGGTCTTGAATCCTTACTGTCACTTAATTTCATGTTAAAATAGAACTAAAACCAAAATTGGAGATCTGTGTTGCAAGTAAATGTGACCATGTTATACCACACTCGCATTTTCATTTTTGAGCTGCTTTTTCAGGCTCTGGAAGGCTTAATATTGCATGACTTCTAATTCTTTTTTAGAAGTAAGAGATCTTACAAAATACAGATAGAAAACACTTATTTTTAGGAATGGAATAAAACTCATCCTGCCTTGCAGTGATCATGTGGGTCCTTTAGGTCCTTTTATAGTTCTTTCCATTGTGCAATCTTAATTTTCCTATGTTTTGAAACATTTTGCTGTTTGTCATCCTACATATCACTTCCGTGTTATTCACTGGGTGTTCCCAAGTATGCTAAGCAAGACTAAAGAATAAGAAAATGGAAGAATGATAAAATCCCTAGGTCCCTGGTATACAGTGAAATCATTGTCATTATTGCATCGATGTTCTTAACTGCGTTGCTTAACACAATGCATCATCTTTCAACATACATAAAAGAAGATCAGAGACACCATCTTTCTAGTCTGCTTTTTGCTTTCTTTGAATCCCATGAAAATTCAGGATTTTTCTTTTCCCATCTGTTACGGAAGAAAAAGAGAAGAAAATGGACAGAGGAAGACATTCTGTTACTAGCCAAGCCAGAAGATGAGTGCAGAGAGACAGGTAGCAGCACTCAAGGCCCTGATGATGATGGTGAGATTGAATATCTAGTGAAATCTCAGATGATGAGTCCTCAGATGGTATCTTTCAGGAGTGTTCCCAAACTCAAGAATTGATGGGTGAATAATTTATTTCTGTGGTGTGCACAAGGAAATGAACATTCTCTTCTGTCAGTCTTTTAGCGGGAAAGACTTTTTCACACAATATTTTGTGACAAGAACCTGGACCATCCTGTTTTGATCTTTATCAGAAGAAGTATGTGTAGACAGCATTCTCCCGTCTTCCGTGTTTTGCCACCAAAACTCATTTCTTGCCAAAAGTTAAGTGGACAAATGCAAAAGGAGGCATGTGTCTCCCAAGGTGTTCGGAAAGAAGTAAAGGAAGTAATAACCAAAAAAACCGATGAGATTTTTCTATGGGGGTTAAGCTAAACATGAGAGCATTCTGTAGCCAAGATGATGTGTCCTCAACAAAATTAGGAGCCAGCTTCAAAAGTAGTGGTTTGACAGGGATCAGTGGAAGGAGGAGAAGTCGTGATAACTGGGCCCTGTTGGAGGTGGCGTCCCAGCCTGGCTGCGTGGCGAGTGGGCTGTGTGCTTGGCGGGGCACGCCTGTGATGGGCACTGCGGGCACGCACACCTTCTAGACTGTGAACGTGGACTAAAAACACGGGCTTGCTATTTTAAATTCTTGTGAAAATCTTGTGAAATGCATTTCTGTTGTCTTTATTTTCTATATATTATTTGTATAAAATGGCTCTTAAATGTAGAAAACTGAAAAGGGCCTGTTGGAGGCAGGTAGTAGTAAGTGGTGATGACTAGTTTTTCCTAGCATCGTGAGGGTTAAGCTTGGTTCAAAGTGTTTTTTTCTTTTCTCAGTGATGCCTAGATTTTATTGCTGACCCATACTACACTTGCCCGTGTTGCTTGGAATATATTTGGATTTGTTTGGAGTCATTTACTGCTTCCCCCATTGCAAATTTTGTCTAGTCCAGATGATATGAAAGTTATTCATGTAAAAGAGCAATTATAATCTCTCTCACTCTTTGGTTTTTGTTTTATTTATTTATTATTTATTTTTTACATAAGAACCAGGGTGCAGGCCAGATTCGTGGGAGGGTGAGAGGATTCACCAGAGACAGAGCGGGAAACAGAACAGGCAGACGGATGAAACACACTGCTGAGGGGAGCAGCGGGCGAGACAGGAGAGGTCTGCTGCGTCATGTGGGAACCTGTGAACAGCCTCACGGCACTGCGCTTAACCACCTGCACCACCAGGGGAGGCCCACTCTTTGGTTTTTATATTGCCTTTTTTTTTTTTTAAACTGGCTGCTTTGTCCCTGCTGAAACTTCTTTGGCAGCAAAGGCTCAGAGCAGTGAATCTCAATCCTTTTTGCTTGTAAAATCACCTGGGCACATAAAAAAAGGAGTACAAATGCAGCAGACATCCAGGCCCTACCTGCACTCACTTGTCAAGAGTGGAGCTCCAGCCCCTGCCTGCGGCGCTGCCGTGGGGACTTGATGCTGCACCGCTCGGGCCCCTTCTGACCTGGTTTCCTGGTGGCCGACCATTGTTTTCTGCTACCCTCATGTGAAACCATACTGTATAAAATGTGGCTTTATATGGTAGCATTTCATTGCTATGTACTTTTAAGTTTGAATTTTATAATGCAGATAAAAGCTATCTGAGAATGATTTTATGTGAATTTTCAAAGTACAGAATTGCACCCCATGTTGTTTTCATCCATTAAGAAAATGGCTGGGAAAGAGAGTCCCCACGGTGGACTGACCACACCCTGCCGTGGGGAGAAGAATAGAAGCCTTCCTTATTTTCCTTGAAGAAGAAAAAAATCTGATGTCAGTGGAACGCGTTGCCATTTCTTCAATCCAGCACAGTTGCCTGTTACATTATTATCTATACTTTTTTGTATGTTTGAAGGTATAACTTTAAATAATTTAGAGTTTGTAATTTAAAGTGAATATTGAAATGAATTAAGTCGGTATAAGAAAAAAATGGAAAATTTGGGTACATGCATGGTAATTGAGGTCTGATGTGTATCAGCGTTAGCACGCAGTTTATTTCAGAATTTTGTTCTGGTTGCTTGTAAAGAGAACGTTCTCATGATACATATACAACAAGAGTGGCCTGGTTTTTTACAGTGCAAAAAATCTTTTTGATATTCTTCAGCTAAACAGATGTTCAGAAAACTTTGTTGTGCACAAAATGAGTTAACCTGTTAGCAGAATTAATTGATGACTTCTAGTGTGTTAATATTTGGCATAAAATATTTTTTGTTGCTTTTTAGAAAACTAAGATAAAATATAAAGGTTGCCATCTCCCCTGTTTTTAAATGTACAGTCCTCTGACGTGAAATAGTCTTAGTTGTGCAACCATCACTGCATCTGAACTCTCACCATACCCCAAGGAAGCTGTCCACTTTACACACTTCTGCCCGTCTCCCTCGGTCCCACGTGCCTGTTCTGCTTTCTGTCTCTGTGCACTTGGCTGTTCTAGATCACTTCGTACAAGTGAATATTTGTCCTCTGGTGTCTCACCTCATTTATCATAGTGTCTTCAAGATTCATCTGTGTTGCAGCATGTTTCTGAATTTTACTCCTTTTCAAAATTAAAGCTGAACAGTTTATTCCATTTTATAAACATTCCATATTTTGTTCATTCATCTGCTGATGGATTGTTTGGGTGGTTTGTACCTTTTGGCTCTTGTGAATGGTGTTGCTGTGAACATTGATGTCCAAGGATCTGTTTGTGTCTCGGCTGACAGCTCTTGTGGGCGTGCACCTAGGAGTGGGATTGCGGCAGCTTAGGGCAATGTTTTGCTTTCTGAGGAGCTGGCACAATTTGCACAGCAGCCACAGCGTTGTGCCTTCCTGCCTGCGCCGCCAGCAGTGCACACTGTGTCCTCACCTGCACTCGCTCTTTTCTGTTACTTGATAATAGCCATTCTTAGGAGCATGAAGTGGTGATTCGTTATGATTTGGACTTGCATTTCCCTCACGATCAGTGCCTTTGAGTGCCATTTCACATGCACTTTGGCCATTTGTGTGTTTGGGGAGGGAAATACCTGCTCGAGTCCTTTCCCCATTTCTAAATTGGGTTGTTTGTGTTGATGAGCTGTAGGAGTTCTTACATATTCTGGGCAGTAATTCTTTCTCAGATACACAACTTGCAGATATTTTCTCCCTTTCTGTGGGTTATCTTTACTCTTTTGTAGTGTCCTTCAGTGCACAAAAGTTTTTTTTTTTATTTATACAAGCACTGGGTACAGTCAGAAGCGCGGGAGGGTGAGAGAATTCACCAGAGCCAGAGCAGGGAGCAGAGCAGGCAGAAGGACCGAAGGACACTGCTGAGGGGAGCAGCGGGCGGCAGGAGAGGTCTGCGCGCCATGTGGGACCCTCCTCCAGTGGCCGGGGAGCAGCCGGGGATCAAACCGGTGCTGTAGAGGCTGTGGGCAGCTTCGCAACCCAGTGCTCAAACACTGCGCCACCGGGGAGGCCCAAAAGTTTTTTTTTAAAATAGATTTGTTTATACAAGCACTGGGTACAGCCAGAAGCGCGGAGGGTGAGAGAATTCACCAGAGCCAGAGCGGGGAACAGAACAGGCAGACTGACGAAATACACTGCTGAGGGGAGCAGCGGGCGGCCGGAGAGGTCTGTGCGCCGTGTGGGACCCTTACCTGGTGGCCAGGGATCGAACCGGTGCTGTAGAGGCTGCGGGCAGCTTCGCAACCCAGCGCTTGACCGCTGTGCCACCAGGGAGGCCCAGTGCACAAAAGTTTTTAATTTTGAAGTCCAGTTTATTTTGTTCTCGAGTTGCCTGTGCTTTTTGCTGTTGTATCAAGAAACCATTGCCGGATCCAATGCCGTGAAGCTTTTCCCTGATACTTTCTTGTAGAGTTTTAGTGTTAGCCCTTACCCTTAGGTCTTTAATCCATTTTGAGTTAAACTTTGGATATGGTGTGAGGTAAGGGTCCAACTTCAGGTTTTTTTTGTCTGTGGATATCTGGTTTCTCAGTACCGTTTGTTCTGACATACTTTTTAAAATTGTGTGTGTGTGTGTGTGTTTTAGTTTAAAACTTTAAAAATTCCATACCAAACCTCTGAAACCCCAGTGACCTGAAAGCACTGTGCTGGAAGCTTTTTGGTCTTAAGGATTCACTTATAAAAAGGCAGGCCCTCTTTCTGCTTAGGACTTGAGCAACTAAAAGGGTGTTTAAGTTAATAAACTGCCAGAAATGTTATGCAAAGAGTTTTGAAAAGACTGAGGAGGAAAAACCAGATTGGAAGGGAAGCATCCCAACGGGAGGAGCTCTGGCAGTGTGTCTGGCTTTAACTGACTTGTGCAGAGTTATAGTTTTGCTTGTATTCATGGGTTTTGAAACAAAAACCTTAGAATTTGTTTCTTTTAATCATAGCTTAAAATATTAATGTAGTGTAAATCGGGAATCCACTTAAGGAATGCACAGCAGGTAGTCCTGGGTAGCCTCACACCTGCCTCCTCTCAGGTAGTTCCAGCCTTAGAGATGTGATTTTTTCAAGTTCTTTGAGAAGAGTCCTGGTAACATGAAGGAAAACGCAACTTTCTTGCCATGTGTTGGGGGACACTTTGCTATTAGTGTGCTTCTTACCTGGTCTCTCATTGTCCCTGCAGCGCAGTGTAGAGTACCTGTCGTCAGCAGTCGCAGCAGTCTCTCTCTTTAGTCCCAGTTTTGGCTGGAGGGCTGTGAACGGACCATGTCTCAGGCTTTGTTCAGAAGATTTTATTCGCACCTTGCATTTTTGCCAGCAGCACTAAGTATGAGAGAGATGGCAGGTTTATAATTTATTCCATGGCATCCTTATTAAAAAAGTGCTTCTCAGCGACCTCTGTGCGCATAACGAACCATACTTAGGTGGAGACACTTATATTTTGAACTTGCCATGTCCCACACAGATGTCTGTATTTTGACTTTTTCCGCAATGTGGCTTGCCAGTCCTTGAGTGCCTTGGCAGTCCCTCTTCCTGCATTGTGGCACCGAGCTGCCCTGCGATTAGAATTATGCTGATTCATACCCAAAAGTCTATTCTGTGTGGTGTTGATGGTGGATTTATGAGGTTCAAACCAACCCAAGTTTGATAGGACACTAAGTTGTTTAACCTTTTAAATTCACTGACATGGTGGTGTGTGCGGCCTCAGTCACAGGGTGCTCCACCCACAGAGCCAGGGTCAAGTGCTTTTTGGGTTTATTGTCATAGCTGGGATGTTGATGGCTTTCATAAGAGTTAACTATTAAACAGTTATTTTCTCTTTAGGTGAATGGAAGAGAATCAGAAGAGGACAATCTCAACAAATCTGAAATAAGTCAAGTGTTTGAGATTGCACTTAAACGGAACTTGCCTGTGAATTTCGAGGTGAGCTCACTTCACGTGTAGAACTCTGTGTGACAAAATATTGTTGGTATTCGTCATAGGGATTTTTTGCTTAAGTAACATTGGGGTAACACTCACATACTTAATGAAATCTCCAAATTTAAGATTCAGACTTTGTATTTAGCAAAACGATTTGTATTTTCTTCTAGGAGTCGTTGACTCAGGGCAGCCCTGGGGTGCTGGTTGTCATGGATGGTTGCATTTTCTAGAATGTTCTGAAGAATGTTCTGATTATGTTTACATAATCAGAGCCTAGAGGCTCTTTTTTTTTTTTTAATTATAAAGATTTATTTATTTATTCATACAAGCACTGGGTACAGTCAGAAGCACGGGAGGGTGAGAGAATTCACCAGAGCCAGAGCGGGGAGCAGAACAGTACACTGCTGAGGGGAGCAGCAGGCACGGCAGGAAAGGTCTGCGCGCCATGTGGGACCCTCGCTGGTAGCCGGGATCGAAACCAGCGCTGCAGAGGCTGCGGACAGCTTCGCAACCCAGCCTTCAACCGCTGCACCACCAGGGGAGGCCCTCTCCTGGAAGCTCTTTATTTTCATTACATTCATATCTCAGAGGCATTGTTTCCCCCCAAAGTATTAAGAATCTCCTTAAGTGTTCCCTAAAAATCTTGTTAGGTGGTTGTTAAAAGGAGAGGTTTTGTCATTGTCTGCAGTCTCCTGCTCCCTTCCACTATTCAATAACCCCGTTTGTTGTTGGAAACTTGACAGTATAAGAACAGTGGTTAACAGGTGGTTCAAAGTGGAAAGCAAGGTATATTTGGTCTGTTTCCTTTAATGACTTGATAGGTCAAGAGGGAAGAATTTCTAAAAAGTTTCCCTTAATGACTGACACTTGGAAAATTCTTTTACTAAAGTCTTTTGATTTCCATGTTTGGTTATACAAGGTTGTGTTTTCATACAGAATTCTGTTAAATAACTCAAGCAAATTTCTGTGTCAGTTCTTTGCTCTTTCAAAGTTATAAAGAATATGTATTTCATCTTCAAGAGAGATTTAAACTCACATTGTTACTTCAGGCAGATGCAATTTGAATTTTGGAACATTGATTCATAGATTTCTTTTGGACAGATTTATTTATTAATTTTTTAAAGATTTATTTATTCATACAAGCACTGGGTACAGTCAGAAGCACGGGAGGGTGAGGGAATTCACCAGAGCCGGAGCGGGGAACAGAACAGTCAGAAGGACCGAAGTACACTGCTGAGGGGAGCAGCGGGCGGCAGGAGAGGTCCGCGCGCCATGTGGGACCCTCGCTGGTGGCCTGGGAGTGAACCCGCGCTGCAGAGGCTGCGGGGAGCTTTGCAACCCAGTGCTTAATCGCTGCGCCACCAGGGGAGGCCCCAGTTTTATTTATTTTTTAAGATTGATTTATTTATGCATACAAGAACTGGGGTACAGGCCAGAGGTGGGGGGGATTGAGAGGATTCACCGGAGACAGAGTGGGGAACAGAACAGGCAGATCTACTGAAATACACTGCTGAGGGGAGCAGCGGGCTAGACAGGAAAGGTCTGCTGCACCATGTGGGGAGCTCCCTGACTGGCCAGGGATTGAACTGGTGCTGCAGAGGCTGCAGGTAGCTTCATGGTGCGGTGTTTATTAACCCCTTGCGCCACCAGGGAGGCCCTAGACAGTTTGTTTTAAAGATGACTGTCCTATAAAACAATTTTGTAGTGTTTTGCAATTACAGGTGATCCCCAGATTTCATGCCTAATTTTCATAGAACATATATACCATCTCCTGTTAATGCTGCTAGCGCCCTAAACTGGCCTCAGTTCAGTCATTAATCCATCAGTTTAGTGATGTTGATTCCTGCATTACCCCAGGCCATTGCTTACCTGCCTGCCCAGGGGCATGAGCGGGATAGGACTTTGGGCTGCCACCACAGGGCTATTCTGCACCCCCTATACCCACCCCTATCCTGCCGTGGCGGGGAACACCAGGCTTACACTGTCCCCTCTTGGAGTACAGAGCACCAGTGGGTCAGGACGGTATCTTCTCACTGGGCCTTCCATCTCTTCTAGCCTTTTTCACTTAGTTGGCAGGGGTGGAGGTTAAGGAAGGACAAACAGAATGATAGGGCCAGTTGTTGGGTGGGAACTAAGTGTGAACTTAGTTTCCCTTAGTTCCCCTAAGAAGCCAGGGGGTCTCCCCAGGTCCATACTTATTGCAGGGAAGGTAAGAACTGCTCTCTTTTGCTTCTCAGTTGTTGTTAGTATGGCACAGGAGTGGAATTTTTAGAATTGGAAGCAGGGATGCCAGAATTGTAGGAGTGGGAAAAGCCTGACCGCCCACATTACCTTGGAGTCACAGAAGTGACTTCTGGGGCCAGAACTTGTCACCTGTTCACACTGCTTGTTGCTCAGCCTGAGAGTCACAGAACTTTTGGAAACTTAGTGAGGCACTGCCATTTTACTTTTTGGGTTTGTGAGCTTTCGGGTCTAGATTGCTTCTGTCCGCCCTTTTTAGGTTTCAGATGTGACTTGCAAACCTGTGTTCAGGAACACGCACCCTAGAAGGAAATGGTCAAGTAGTCACGTAAAGGAGTGCGTGGGCGCGCCCTCTGGTGGTGGAGCTCGTTAGAGGAATGTAGAACTATCTTTTGTGGCGATGATGACGTTGAGTTAAATGAGTAATTCTGCTAAATAACTCGCATTCAAGGTTTATATTAGTTTCCATAATTAGACCTTTTTGTTTGATCAAAGTTCAGGCTTAGTTTTTAGTGTTTGTTCCCTTCTCTCTTGACTTATTTTTTAACATGGAAAACAATAAATAGTGCCAGAAAATAAACTTACTCAAAAAGATACATTCAGAAGCGTCACCACGTGCTCTCTCCCCGGGCCCTCCTGCTTGCTGTGGGCCACTGACCTCATTCGTTTCCTACTTGTGTATCTTTTTTTTTTTTTTTTTTTTTTTGTGGCACCCTCGCCGGTGGCTGGGGATCGCCTCGCAGCCCAGCGCTCAACCGCTGCGCCACCAGGGGAGGCCCTTGTGTATCTCTTTTGCAAAAAATGACCTTAGAAACACGTGTGTCTACTTGTGTATACACGTGTGCACGCTCCTTTTTTACACGGAAAAGTTGGGGTACCATATACATTCTTGTGCAGTTGGCTTTTTTCACTTACCGGGTTCAGCGTCACGATCAGTGTTCAGAGGTTTCCTCCTCCTTCCTTGCAGATGTGTAGCAGCCGGTGTTTCATAAGCTCGGTGGTGGCCGGAGGCTCAGAGCAAACATTCAACTTGAACTCCTTGTGCTCCGATTATTTCTGGGCTTATCGGGGCCAACTTCCTTTCTGCTAGTGGGGTCAGTGGGCCCCACTAAAGACAGGCCAGCCTGTCAGCCTGGGTGGGGGGCGGTCAGGAGAGGGCGGGAGGAAGGAGCGGCTCCCTACCCGCGCCTGGCGGTTCTGGCCGCGTGAGACCCAGGAACACGAACGCGCTTGAAAGACAGAAGAAGGGAAGAAAACCCTCCAGGGTCATTACCGTGTCCTTGGGTGGATGCACACGCCCTCATTTAAGGGGCTCCTCCTCTCCCCGTTGCCGAGTTTCCCGGGGGCCGTGTGCTGACCAGTGTGTCTCACAGCTGGAAGTGAATGTCTGTCACGCTTTCACGCAGTCTTTCCCTCTCGAACAGGTCGCCCGGGAGAGCGGCCCCCCCCACATGAAGAGCTTTGTGACCAGGGTGTCCGTTGGGGAGTTTGTGGGGGAAGGTGAAGGGAAGAGCAAGAAGATCTCAAAGAAGAATGCTGCTATAGCCGTGCTGGAGGAGCTGAGGAAGTTGCCCCCGCTGCCTGCAGTCGAGCGAGTCAAGCCCAGAATGAAAAAGAAAACGAAGCCCATCGTCAGGGTGAGAACCCGCGCGCGACGGGGGCGCGAGGGGCTTTTGTTTCCCAACTGCGGTTCGAGGGGGCTGTTTGCTGACTCCAGTAAAAGGCGTCGGGAGCTGATGCCAAGTCCTGGGCCCGGCAGACCCACGGCCCCCACCCACAGAGGGCACAGGAGTCTGTGTGGAGACTGCCGCGGGCGCTGGGCTCTGTTCTCCTGTGACTGTTGGTACAGCTTCCCCTGCCGCAGGAGGCGGGCTTTCCGCTTTCCTTCTGCGAAGCAGTAAAACCATGTTCATGTAGAAACGTGAGTGTGCGTTTGCAGGGTTTTTTGGTTTTTTTTTTTTTGGCTTAATATATCCTAGAAATCACTTGTGAAAGGGCCACTACAGAGTAACCGGGATGCTTAGGTTCTTCCCCTGTGGCCTCAGCTTGAGTTGGTTTTTTTTTTTTTTTGTTACTGGGTTGTGAGTCGCCGTTGAGAAAGCAGGCAACACGGCTTGTGGAAATTTTAGGAATCGTGTTCTGTGGTTTTTCTCCTTTATTCATTGTCACATTAGAAATTTATTTTTAAAGTAGACATGACAACAGTTGACTGTTCATAGTAAAATGTTGTTGGTTTGCTAAGACCTTAAAATCACCTCAGTGCAATCACAGAAAATCATCATGTATATTTTAATTTAAAAAGGGTTTCAAAAAGATTTGCTTAATTTCTGAGCCATTACGTCAGCGTAAAAATAATATCCTGTCACGTCCTGAGCTCTGAATTGGCAAGGTTCTTCTTGTGACTAACATGGCTTCTACATTAATTGTTCCTGACAACAGAGTAGCCCAGAATACGGCCAGGGGATGAACCCGATTAGCAGACTGGCCCAGATCCAGCAAGCAAAAAAGGACAAGGAGCCAGAGTACATGCTCCTCACAGAGCGAGGCCTCCCACGCCGCCGGGAGTTTGTCATGCAGGTGGGTCATGTGTCGTGGGCGGCCCTTCTCGGAGTGCCGGTTCTCTGGGCCTTCCTCAGGAGGCTGGTCCCGGGGTAGCAGAGGGATGGCTGTGCCAGCAGACAGCTGCTGGGGCATAACGCATGTGTTCAGAAGGATGATGGGGTGCTGGAATTGTGGGTGAATTCTTTTCTTCATGACATTGTATATTCTTTTCCGAAGATAAATTTTATAAATGATAATAAAGGATCTGATCTGTTCCTGCTCTTTCAGTCCTTCTGTCACATCTGGAGTCCATAGTTGGCTCTTCTCAGATTGGAATGGACAGAGTGTTTTTCCTTGGGCTTAGCATATTAAATAGTTGCTCACTCGGGCATCATCATTGTGATTTGAATTTAATAGTGTTTCTTGGTGAAAAGCAGAATACCTAATTCTTGCAGAGCACCTTACAACGTGTAAAGCACATCGCTTAGTAGTGTGTCCTGCCTACCCAGCCAGAGGCAGCGAGCAGTGAGCCCGCCGTCCTGCTGAGAGGGGACCAGCGACTTGCCCAAGACCAGCGGCTGGTGGCCCGTCACAGACTGGACAGAGCTTCCCTCTCTGTTCTGTGATGTGGGGCTCTGGGTTTTGGTCTGTGGTTAAGACCAGCTTGGGAAGGGATTGTAAGTGGTGGTGTTTGCTAGAAAGTTCAACAGCCACCTCTTAGGGAAGGTGTGAGTGTGTGGGTGTTTGTACTCTACACATATGCATGTGTAATTACCAGTTTTTCTGATAGAAAGGACATGTAACACAATTTACATATAAAACATATAAATTTCATGCAACTGGAACACCACTGTGACTAGCAGCAGTGATAGCCGGCGCTGTAACAACCGTGTCATAAAGATCGGTGTCCAGTGCAGCAAAGAAATTGCTTTGACACTGACAGATGAGTCTAGTTCTAATACACTTTTTCACATTAACAAGTAAGAAAGAAGAAAGTAAAATAACAAAAACATGTTGGAACTTCACTCATTTGTTAACCATCTGAGTAACTTCTCTGCTAAATCAGGTAATTTACGAAAACTGTATCAAGTCTAGAACAGACCGCTGGCAAAATAGCTTAGTCCTTGATATGTAGTATTTGTCAATTTCTTCATGTAGATACTCCTACCTTGGCCATCTGAGTGACCCCTCTGCTCCCAGAATGGGATGAGAAGTGCGGCAGACACCATTGGGTGACAGACACAACAGATGGAGAGAATCTCAAAAGCATAGAAAACTGCAGTGTGGTCGTATTAGGAAGTGATGAGCTTTCAGTATTCATTACTTCTATTAAAACTATTCAATTACAAACTTATGTAATTTAGTGTTTAAATAATTGTCACCTTTAACAGTAACCAGCCTAATTCCTGACTATTTAATAATTGACCCCGACAGGCTGGTGCGAGCCAGCTCCCAGCACTTCTGGCCGCCGCTGGGTTCTTTGCTCAGCACATCAGTTGCCAACTGGTCTTCACTTGCAAGGTTTGAGTGCTCCACTGAGTCCTGACTTCTCTATGCAGGTGAAGGTGGGAAACCACACCGCAGAAGGAGCTGGCACCAATAAGAAGGTGGCTAAACGCAATGCAGCGGAGAACATGCTGGAGATCCTTGGTTTCAAAGTCCCACAGGCTCAGCCCGCCAAACCAGCCCTCAAGTCAGAGGAGAAGGTGACTGCTTGGGGCTCTGTGTCCTTGCTCTCTAATGGCAAGATGACCTCCTCGCCTCATCCTAGGGGACTCTGGCACTTCCAGGGCAAGCTTCAGGGCAAGGATTCATCCTCCTGGCATAAAGCCGCCCTGCTGAGCAGCGTCTTACCATTTGGACCATTATAATGTGGTCAGAAGGGGACGTGCATGTCCATGGCTCCAAGCATGGCTCTGGGTTAAGTCCTTATTGTTTCAGTATCTTTGTGGTCTGGGTGCTTTGCTGGAGGGCAGCTTGCTCCTCTCCATTAGCAGGAAGAGGGGTGACTGGGCTGGAAATCCGGGAGCGTGTGGTTCTGTCACGTGCTCTCAGAAGGCGCCGCCTGCAGACCACCAGGCCTTGTCTCGCAGGTGCAGAGCAGGCTTTGGTCTTTCTGGCGTCTAAGACTGTGTGATTCTAGAGTCAGGTCCAAAACCATAGTTTAGATTTGGGATTTCTTTAACAAACACAAGATAAAAGTAATCCCCTAGTGAGAATTTTTATTTTGCCAAATTTATTTATTTTTAAGATTTATTTATGCATACAAGAATTGGGGTACAGGCCAGAGTTGTTGGGGGTGAGAGGATTCACCAGAGACAGATTGGGGAACAGAACAGGCAGACTGACTGAAATACGCTGCTGAGGGGAGCAGCGGGCGAGTCAGGAGAGGTCTGCTGTGCCATGTGGGTAGCTCCCTGGCTGGGGATCGAACTTGTGCTTCAGTGGCTGTGGACAGCTTCTAAAGTTGCGTCTCAACCCCTTGCGCCACCAGGGAGGCCCTATTTTGCCAAATTTAGACTTTCACTGAAGCAGTGAAAGTCCTGACATTGTTTCCAGTCACCAAAGGGTCCTGTCAGGAGAAACTTGAAAATACCAGAACTGATTCTCGCCTGCCAGTCCAGTCAGCAGTGAGAAGAGACATCAGCCGTGGCCATGTAGTTAATAACCAGGGCCCTGCACGGTCGTCAGATAATCTGCATGGATCCTGGACTTGGCTTTTGGGTTTTTCATTCCAAAGTCTCCCAGCACATTCATAAGCATCCTTGCCTTCTCAGAAAGGAGACCGCTTGTTGACAAAATTTCTATCTGGTAACACTTTCCCCAAGTCTTTTGGAAATGTCGCCTTATCTTTTAATTGGACATTAACTCCAGGAAATGTAATTTGATTTTTTTTTTTAAAAGATTGATTTATTTATGCAACAAGAGCTGGGATATAGGCTAGAAGTGTGGGGTGGGGGTGGGGGGGGATGAGAGGATTCACCAGAGACAGAGTGGGGAGCAGAACAGGCAGACTGACCGAAATACACTGCTGAGGGGAGCAGCGGGTGAGACAGGAGAGGTCTGCTGCGCCATGCGGGTTTCTCTCTGGTCGGGGATCGAACTCGTGCTGCAGAGGCTGCAGATAGTTTCATGGTGCTGAGACTTAACCTCTTGCACCACCAGAGAGGCCCAATCTAAAAGCTGCTTTGCCCACCTTGCCGGGCTCTGCCCCCTGTCACCTTCTGGCTCTTCTGGTGAGACATGCCTCTCTTCTGTCAGGTGCTCTGTGGGGAGGGAGTGGCACGCCACGATGGCCTCGGCAGACAGTGGGCAGGCTTTGCAGCAGGGCCTCTTGTTGATTGCCTCGCCTTTTCATATTCTAGAAACTTACAAAACCAAAGGTTGATGTTGGGTGGAGTAGTGTAGCACAGTATTAGACAGCAGAAATTAATTTTAAACAGCTTGATGCTCATGGTCTTCTTTTTTTTTTTTTTCTTTTTTTTTAAAGACACCAGTAAAGAAATCAGGGGATGGAAGAAAAGTAACATTTTTTGAACCTGGCTCTGGGGATGAAAATGGGACTAGTAAGTGTGATGTTAACATTGTCTTACTCTTAAGTGATTTGAGAGTTGCATGGCTCCTGGTGCCTGCAGGTTGCAGCAAATGTCAGCGGGCCTTGCTGCTGACGTGCTGCTACACGTGCTTAGGGCGGGCCAGAGTGGGGCGCACGTCTTCCCAGCAGCGCCTGTGCACCCGTGTTGACATGTCTCTGTCCCTCCCTAGGCAATAAAGAGGATGAGTTTAGGATGCCTTATCTTAGTCATCAGCAGCTGCCTGCTGGAATTCTTCCCATGGTGCCCGAGGTCGCCCAGGCCGTAGGAGTCAGTCAAGGACATCACACCAAAGATTTTGCCAGGGTAGCTCCGAATCCTGCCAAGGCCACGGTAACTGCCATGATAGCCCGTGAATTGTTGTATGGGGGCACCTCGCCCACAGCCGAGACCATTTTAAAGAGTAACATCTCTTCAGGCCACGTACCCCATGGACCTCTCACAAGACCCTCTGAGCAGTTGGACTATCTTTCCAGAGTTCAGGGGTTCCAGGTAACGTTCGGCACGGGTGGTGTGGGCTGTACTGCGGCAGAGGCCTCATCTTCGGGTTTCTCAGATAATGAGCTTAGTGCCTGTTTTTTAAACAAGTGTCTAGGGGGTTGAGTGAGGAGAGCCTGATAAGAGGGTGGTTTTGAGGAGGGTGGTAAGCTGTGGAGATGGTTACAAGTCTGTATAGCAATCAGAGAAAATACTTGTTCTTCGATAATAAAAATTTAAAACCCCACGTCAGCCATAACAGTCTCTAATCGAGTGGTAGTTACCAATTTAGACTTGGGTGAGAACAGTGCTGACCCTCTCATCCAGGCAGGAAAGGATGTGGTTTCTTCTGGGCCAAGGTTTTTAAGTAGACATCTAGGTTCCTGGAAGGTTCTGGACGCTGGGCGCCTGTAGAGCACGGTGCCCCTCAGCGGCAGGCCAGCCCACTCTGGCTGAGCAGAAGTGACTGTGGGTGGAGCCGGTGGGGTCCTCTCGGGCTGAGATGGGGAGAGAGGTCACCTTCCTGGGTGCTGGGCCCAGCGCTGCGGTCCCGAGCCGCGATCGTCCGCGCCCCTTCTCCAGCCTTGCCTCTGACTTTTCTCTCCCCCCCTTTTAGGTTGAATACAAAGACTTTCCTAAGAACAACAAGAATGAGTTTGTATCTCTTATAAATTGCTCCCCTCAGCCCCCTCTGATCAGCCACGGCATCGGGAAGGACGTGGAGTCCTGCCATGACATGGTAGGTTCCTCGGCCCTCGCGCGGGGCCCGGCTCCGGCTGCTGCTGCTCGGAGTGATGGCAAGGGTTTGCCCGTAGACTTGAGACCAGCTGATTAGCTTAGATTTCACATTTCTGAACTTTTTTCCCTGAAGACTTTGTCTTAGCTTCATTTTATTGGTTTCTCGTTATGTTTATTAAATAATAATGTAACAGCTTTAACCATCCCTTCCCCATGCTGGCCGGGGGTGTGGACTTGACTCCTGGAACCCCCCAGACACTGTACTCAGTTCATCTCTTTCCAGCACAAGGGCTGCAGGCCCAAGTTCTGGCAGCTGTAGAAAACCACTTATTTTGGTATTTTGTTCAGTTGAAATTACTGTAAGAAATACTAAATCTGAGAAAAGAAATGGGGTGAACCGTGGTATATTCACCTGGTGGAACATGATGTGTAACGTGGCCATGGAATTTACGTTTCTAGAGACGGGTATTCCGGCGTGGAAGCGTGGTAGGCTTTAGTCTAAAGCAGGATATAAAATTCCAGGTTTTGGTGACCAGGTTAAAAATACTAGGAGTTATATGAAAAAAAATGACCAGGCGACTCCGTGAGATAACCGTGGGTGTTTTTTTTATTTGTATTTGAAGCTAAAAGGGCTGTGGGGAAAAGGGCTCCTAGCAGTCAAACAGGAGGAAGTTTCGGGGCAGCAGGAGACTCCCAGCCTCCCCTCGGCATCCCGTGCTGTGTCCTGAGCTGGGGTTGAGGTTTGACTTTTCTTTCCCTCCCCGCTAGGCTGCGTTGAACATTTTAAAGTTACTGTCTGAGTTGGACCAACAAAGCACAGAGATGCCAAGGACAGGAAACGGACCAACGTCTGTGTGAGTGAATCGGCTTCCACGGCAAGGCCATTCTCTTCCTCTCGCGTGTCAGAGTCAGTCTGTCTGCTCAGCTCGGCAGCGAGACGCTCCCGGTGTCATTCCTGTCCCGGGCACAGCGCTCTCTCCTCTCTGCGCCGGGAGTCAGGAGCCCGCTGGCGGGTCTTGGCAGTGGAGTGAGGACCCGCCTCCTGCGGTCCGCGTCCTCCCCGCCCCGAGATCCTTTTTCGTGCACCTTCCTTGCGTTTTCTTGTAAAAATATTCAGAGATTTCTCTCCTTTCTCCTGCAGAGGTAGCATGCGCAGTTTCTCCTCCTCGCGTTTCCCATGGGACCTTAGGCCCTGGGAAACCTCAGGCCAGCTATCGGGCGCTCGGTCCTGTCCTCTTTGGACTCCTCAGCGTGTGCTCGTTTCATTTTTAACAGGGGCTTAAATTCTCTTAATATTGCAAAACTGGTGTCATTTTCATTTTTTTTTTCCTTCCTTCCTTAAAGGTGTGGGAGGTGCTGAACCTTTTTTGCCCAGGAACCATTGTAAAGTCCCAACATATATACTGAAAATCCTGAAACTGCTTTGAGAATTTGGAATTTCTTGATACCTCCAGTGGGCCGAGACGTGCTGGGTAAAGACCTGGAGACAGCAGTGGTGACGAAGGTGGGCGCGCAAGGAGGCGGCTGCGGCCACTTGTGCCGAGGTTTGTCCCCACACGGCAGCAGCTGCAGGAAGAGGCGGGCCCGCCACGCGGCCGAGGCTCGTCGGGAACACCAGCACGTGCACACCGCAGGTGCCTCGGGGCCTGGGCTTTGGGTTTTTCTGTCTGCGTGAAAACAGCACGGATCTTTTTTCCAACTGGCTCATCAAACGATTTGGGACAAACCCTGGACACCCACGCTGGAGAGCCTTAGACCGGCCCGTGCTGACAGCACCAGATAATCAAATGCTTCCTGCTCAGCGCAAGCCGACCTTCCTAGAGCGCCGCGGCCACCGCCTCCCGAGTACCCCACCATCACCACTGCTTTCTCTTCCACCAGATACGTATTCTTAGTTTTATGATTTTCTTTTGATTGAAATGACACTATACAAATTTTCATTTGAGAGTTTCTCAATTGTATCTAGTTACATAGTTTAGAAACTTGTCTGAGACTGACTTTTTCAGTAATCTAACGGGCAGAGGTCATACCCGTGTGTCTGTGGTTAGATGTTTTTATTTCATTGGACTAACCCAGGACCATTTCAGTGATGCAGTTGTGTGCCCCTGGTTTAGCTGAAAGAGTCCTGGACTTCTCAGAAACCTTGATGAAGTCTCCCACTGTTGTATAAATTGGACAGTTTAGGAATTTTAAAATTTAAATGATCAGTTACTTTTCTATTTCACTTTTTGTTAAAGCAACAGAACTTAAGTGAGCTTTGGTCTTTGTTTTGAAGTGACAGAAGTGATGATGTGCGTATACACACGGCTCTCGAGGACACCGCTGTCACTGCACGGCGGGGCGTGAGCTCCATGTAGTGCATCTGAAACCAGATCGGTTTTCCTTGAGCGCTTTTTATACTGTTGATTCCATCCCCAAGCAGGACTGAAAAAAATGACCATGTTTCACTCAAAGCGTTGCTGTTCGACGTGCACAGCCGGCGCTGCGTCCTGTCCGGGTAGAGCACACGGTAGCCTTGCCAGCCACTTAAGTTCTGCTTCCATTTTCATTGTTTACCCTGGAATTTTTTCTCCCCGTGGAATGTAAGTAAAAAGAGTTTGTCACCAAATAAATGGTAATACTAATTTTTTTTTGTTAATTTATTCTCAAATGCCACTACTGCTAGGTTGGTCCCCTCCCAACCTGCCCCCTCTTTTTTATTTAAAGAGAGCAAAACATGCTTATGATTCCACCCGGGTGAGATTGATTTGAAGTAACTTTATATGAAACCCTTGATCAATAAACAATACTAATGAATTCTTGGTCCTGTTGAGCAGTAACTAAAGGAGGGAAGCTGGCAGGGCACAGAAGCATGCCATGGGGGGCACCGGGGCCAAGGGAGATGCCTCTCGTCTGAACCTGAGTGTTCCCTGAGGGAGAGACGCTTCTCAACACTGCGAGTCTCTTCGCTCGGCTCAGGTGCTCTCGCACGTGGAGGAAAGGTGAGGTGTCGCGTCCTAGCCTGGCTGACGAGCAGGCTGGCGATGCTGATTTAGAGGAAGCTCATGAAGGTGGTTCACATAAAACCAGCCTGTGGCCTGGAGCATCAGAATAACCGAAAGGGACCAGAGGGTTACGGGAAAATGCTAAGAGGCGGGCAGGAGTCCAGCATCGCAGGGAAGAGCAGCAGTGCAAAGACATTCCCTCTCCCAGCCCTAGGTTCAGCCGTGTCGCCAAGGCTGTCCGCGCCCCGTGATGGATAGGGAACCAGTCTGCGTGCTCGGTGCTCGGCACCTCTCAGCTGTTTGTAGGTTCCCTGACAGCTAGGGAGTGTGTGTGGTGTGTGTGTGTAACTCGTAAGTATTTCCTTTATACTCACAGCCCCTGCATCCCCAGGCTCGCCCTAGAAGGCTTTCCTCATTGTTTTCAGCACTTTCTACAATGTTGAGACCAGATCTCCTGGGCTCCCCAGCCCTCTCCTAAGCGTGTCCAGGGCTGTTTCCCTTCCTCCTGCCTCAGCTCAGCCGAGGTCCTCCGCGCTGGGGCGGGAAGATGGGAAAGGCCCGACAAAAGCCTCAGAAATAACTCACAGCTTCCAGGTGACTGACAGTTGGTCCTCGTGGACAGCACTTCGAAACTGGGAAATCCCCTCTTTATCATGCAGGGTTTTATTATGAAGGTTTCCAAGTTTCTTTGCTAAGAGGTTTTTTGAAGTGAATAGTTGTCTGACTTCTTTGGAAAGATGCCCAGGTGGGGTGTCCTGGAGGCCTGTGTGCTCCTGCAGCCACTTCACTTCTGGGAAGGCCTGTAGCTGCCTTCTCCTGCAGACGGGCTCTCAGCCTGCAGTGCCCTGCTCCCTGTCTCGGGAGACTTGGGAGCGCTGCCCAGGAGCTGGGAGTCTGCACTAAGTTTTTATCCCAACAGTTTAAGAGTTGTAAGAACTTTTGAGCCAAACCTACGTACTTCAGTCCTTGGGACAATGTATGTGGTCCCGGTTTCTAGACTGCTGGCTGACAGGGAAGCAGGTGGGAAGGCAGCTGAGGCAGGACTGAAACCAAGGTCTGTTTGTTTTAGCCCCCTGGCGCTTTGGGGAGGGGTGCCCATGGTTGGGGGTGGATGGGCTCCATCGCCCCACAGCCAGTGAGGCAGCAGAATGTCATGACTGGTCAAGTTCTCTTACCACAAGCAGATATCTGAGTCAAGGTGATTTCCCCATAGCTGTGGCATTGTCTCTAGAAGAGCTGACTGAACCAGTGGTGTGGAAAAAGCTGTCGCTTCAGAATCTAGAATTCTTCCACAGCTGAGCCAATGTGTGGCTTTTCAGGGCAAATGCCCATTGACAGCTGCCTGGCCCCGAGATCTGTTACATCATTGGCGGGCAGGGCGCGGCTGCCAGAGATGAGCCACTGTCATCTGTGACTTGAGGGCTTACCTGTCAGTGCGCCCTGGGAAACATGCAGCTTGAAATGTCCACATCCAGATGTGATGGATTGGTCAAGCAGTTCAAGTTGCCAGTGCGGCAGGAAGAAGTGAGCTGGTTTTCTTCCATGGGCTTTTGAAGAAGTGGATGTTTGTCTTCGGGGCAGGGGGTAACTCGGGTGGGGTGGGGTGGGGTGGGGTGGGTTACGAGAGGCTGAGCTGCTCTTGGGATCTGTCCGTGTGGACTGCAGGTGAGAGACCTGCTGATTGTTAAAACAGTTTCCCGATCGGCCTTTGTAACTTACATGGCAGTCCAGTCTTCCTCAGCAAAAACTGTACATAGGAGATTTGTACTGGTTGGCGTAATAATCCACGTTGGGTGGACTTCCTTTGGACACTGTTGGATGAATATTCGTCAAAACCGCTTTTGATTTTAAATCCTTACCAGGCTGCACCAACAACAGTAAAGCAGTCTTTGTATCGTGGCAGTTTTTTTTAAATTTAAAAGTAAAGAATTTATAAGCGTAGCCATCATTTGCCCCTCCTTCACTTGCAGTTTTTTCAGAATGCTGAGATGTGGGGGGTGTGGTGCAGCTACAGGGTCCGCCACACCCCTTCTGCCCCGGCTGTCCTCGACTGTTCCCCTTAGTCCGCAGTAGCAGCAGCAGCGGGGCGGGTCTCTGTTGACATCGGTGGTGTTGACTGGGTCAGTGCTTGGTCTGATGCTGTGACGTAATCCTTTGTCGCTTCTTCAGACTGCTGTGCTGTATGTAGCATCTGCCTCCTTAATCATGGATGTGCTCTGGCGGCCAGAAGGCCTTGCCAGAATCCAACACAGAAGTCTCTGGTCTTGGTTTTGCTGTGCAAACACTGTAATCCCCAGGATGTGTCTACCCTGCTGAGTGTGTCTCACCTAGAAAATTGCTGGGAATGTGCTGGATTGGGGGATGCTCTTGGACATTCTCCTCTAAATTGCTGGGGGATTCACGAACAGATGCAGTATAAACGTGGGGGACGTCTGAAGCACATTCTGGCTAAGAAGGCAGGCCATGCGCTGCCTTCCCACACCCAAGGGCCACCCTGCTTTTTGGCATTGTGACTGCATTTGGCAAGTGAGGCCCCAGAGTGTGTGTTGGCGGCCAGTTTGTCACCTGAATGACCCAAGGTGGTTTGACATCTTTGTCACTGTCCCTGGAAGCCTGCGTGAGCAACAGCATGGGGGATTCTACAAGGGTGAGGCTTCTGCGCTGGGAAGTGCAAACCATAAACACATCTCGGGAAGGGTCAAAATTCTATATTGTAAATCGGTAAGTATTTCCAGTTGGCAGAGGAGGAATCAGAGCCAACGCCAACCGGGTGGAGGCCTGCACGAGAGCAATGCCCAGTGCAAACAGGAACAGCAGGTGAGTGAGTGAAGCCTGGCTGTGGCGGAAGGTAAGCTCGGGGGTCCACCCTGACTTCAGTCACTTCCTTAGAGATCGCTCAGGCTTTTTGCCTCCCTGAGTCTCAGTTTCTCTCTCTGTAAATTGGAAAAGACACGGACCTCACAGGGTAAGACAGTGCATGTAAGGGGCTTCTCGGCGTGTCCACTGCTGTAAACACTAAATACCGTCTGTTCTTCCCACTCAGATGCTTGGAAATCTGTTACTCCGAGTTTGCTTTTCTAATCCCGCTCAGGATGGCCGGTGGAGAGGAATCTGCCGAATTCCCAGATGGAGACTGCTCTCTGGGATGCAGATTCCAGGGGTCTCCCAGGAAAACGTGTGTAGACATTGCCTGAGGCCTGTGGCTCCTGCAGAGCCTACCTGTCATAGGTGTCTCTGGGCTGCCACCCTCTTCTTTGCGATCCCTTCTTCATTTTGAGGCCGTAAAACTTTAGATCGCTGTTCCCGAAACTTCACTGTCATGGTTCTTGTGCTGTATATGTTTGCCTTTTTTGACTCACTTTAGCTTCTGTGTACCCTAAGTCATGGTTCACCAAACTGAGCAGTGAGCATTGGGATACCTGGGGAGCTGTGATTAAGGTTGCCAGGTTCTATTTGCAGCTTCTGAAGCAGCAGGTCTGGGGTTCAAGAGCATTTCCAGTAAGGTCCTGGATGACGCTGATGGTACTTTGAGAATCAGCCATAACCTTAAGCATTAAAATCCATGAAACTGCTACAGTTTTTTCCTGATAAGAAACATTAACCATAAATGATAGGCAGCCTACAAATCCTTTGGGTCAGGCTTACCCATAAATGCTGCTGAAGGCTAAATGGAGGGCAGCTTTGCCGCTTTCAGACACACCTCTGGCAGCTCTGCAACAGTGTTCCAGCGTCCCGTTGGGGGCATGGGGGAGCTTCGGAACAGTGCTGTGTGGTAGGAAAAGGGCAGAGCTTAAGGGTGGGATAGTTCTAAGGCTAGGGGTTCAGAATGCCCACCCTGCGGTGGTCACCTTAATTTGTTGCCCCCACCTTGCTTCTCCTTGAGAAGCTTGGGCAGCCTCCCTGACAGGCCTGGGTGCTCAGCGGGCTCCAGCCTGAGATTTACAGTCTCCCCAGAGGTGTCCGGAGGGGACTGTCCAGCCTTCCAGCCTGGCAGGACCCCTCTGGGTGCCAGGTTTCTCTTCTACCTGCCCTCAGACCCACTTGGAGACAGATCAAGATCTGTCTTCTTACCTGACACTGCTGCAGAAACCCGTGCTCTTGGGCGCCGTGGTCACTGCCCACTAAACTCAGGTTGACCCTTTACGCTTACAAGAAGTGCGCCGTCTTTCCAGGGCGAGGTAAGTAAGACTCTTTCCTCGTTTTGCTTCCCACTTCTCCGGTGGGTCTTTTGGTATCTGCTCTCCTTGAAAGTAAGTGGAGATTCTTTTTCACATGGATAGTGAGTAGCTGCCACACTGGCAAGCTTTTCTCACTTCATCCAATTTGCAAGGGAGGAAACCCAGAAGCAGGGAAGCGACTTCATGCGGTTTGTGACAGCCTTTCCCACGGAAGGTGGATGGGGGTCTGTGCGCCCGAACCCGTTCCTGACTGTCAGGGGTTCTCAGCTCACGCGGAGAGCACAATGGAAACTTGTTCACGAAGGTCCTTTACTCTTCCAAGCAGCCGTCCTACTGAGCACACCCCAGGGTGGATTTGAGGGGGAGTCTTGCTACCACACCGGGGCCATCAAGTTTCTTGGACAAAGAGCAAAAGCAAGAGAAAGCTGGACTTGGTTACAAAGCAGATGCTCGGTGTTTCTGAAACAACAAAAGGTCACAGGGACAGAGGAGGAACTGTGGCAGCGAAAACGCTATTGTCAGCAAAGACTTCACAGTTGCCCTTACTGAATGGAGACTGGTTTCCTACCTTTGCCAAGCCCTGGCTTGCACGGTGCCTGAGCCCTGTATTCCAGAAGTTAGGCTGCCTGGGTTTGAAGCTCAGTTGCACCTAGCGCTAGGACCAGGGCAGTCCCTACATTTTTAGGAGTAAGGATGTGGCCCTGCCAGATTCTCAGACCAAAGACACCATCAGGTCTCCAGCTCCTGTGGACAGTGGGACAGGGAGGCCTGACTAGGAGCGCTGGCATCTGCCCGAGTTTACACTGGCACACAGGAGTCAACAAGCTATAAAGCACCTCAGAAAAGAGTGGAAGGCATGCCGTGCAACACAGAATGAAAAAGCTGATAAACTCCAAGGAAAGGTTACCAGAAAGGGGCCAAATATAACACAAGCTAAAATGGGGCCTGGCTTGAGCAACTGAAGGCATATGAGGAAAACTAATCCACCCGACCCCACTGACTCTCATGAACACTCTCTTGAGTGGAGCAAAAGCTAAGACATCGACCTGGAGAAGAGGGAATGTAATCTCTCTATACTGTGGGGCCCAGCATGGAGCACACTTCTTTTTTAAAATTTATTTTTATGTATACAAGAGCTGGGGTACAGGCCAGAGGCACGGGAGGGTGAGAGGATTCACCAGAGACAGAGCAGGGAGCAGAACAGGCAGACTAACGAAATACGCTGTTGAGGGGAGCAGCGGGCAAGTCAGGAGAGGTCTGCCCACCATGTGGGAATCTCCCTGGCCAGCCAGGAATCGAACCAGCACTGCAGAGGCTGTGGACAGCTTCACAGCATGGCGCTCAACCCGCTGCGCCACCGGGGAGCCCTGAAACACTATTTACAGCATCAAAACTCAGGTATTTTACCAGGTCTCACCTTTTAAGAGGGACCTACAGAGAAGGCGCAGGAAACGGGACTACCCGTACAGAATGAGTGACTGTGCAAAATGAGGATAAAGCTGGCAAGTTAAAGCAGTGGAGGCATCCTTGTCATTATAGAGAATTGTAGAGACAGTGGCCAGAACTGATGGAACAAGAGTTAAAGATAAAAAGCAGCACAGAATATTACTTTTTAACAAAAACAAAAAACCAACCAACAAAAACCTAGCAGGGTAAAAACAGTATGAACTAAATTCTTATTTTTCATAGCAGGGAGTTAAGAGACGTCTTTAAGGCTGATGTATCAAGAAGATGAAGCACGCTAAAGGCAGTACTAACTGAGAGCTTTTGCTTCCAAGAGGGTAAGTAGGGATAGGGTAGAAATTCAGTGTTCAGTTATGTAAGCCCTGCATAGTATCAGACTCTCTGGCACATGCTAAAATGACTATGCCCCAAAAGGAGAGAAATGAAATACCATTTTCACCCATCAAAAGAAATGATGCATAGTGTGGGTCAGGGGGGTACTATTCAAACTGGCATAACCTTCACACAAAATAGGAATTGGCCTAGAACTCCCACTTTCAGGAAAAAAAAAAGATACAGATTAATGTATATGGTTGTTCATCTTACAAAAATAAGACTCCACATGTCCAGCAATGATTGTTATAATTATATATTAATATTTGATATCAAAATAAGCTATATAGCACTAGAAATGTTTGTACCAAATGTTAAAAAGTATTTTTAAAAGCATATATAAATTAATTGTACACACAGAATGATCTTGATTTTGTTAAGGGGGGGATGAACCACAACGTCTGAAGAAAATAGGAATATGGACGACTTTTAAATTTTTCTAACAAAGAAAACAGCTAATCATAAACAAGTTAAAAATCACGTTTCTCAGAAGGAACAACCTTTGCAATGAATGACATTTCTCCTGTCTCAGAGTGCCCTGGGGTGAGTATCGCCCTCTCTATA